ATCTTATATTTTCTTTAAACTTATTATTTTTTTATTTTTTAAAAAATAAAAAAATATATATGGAAGGATAAATGAAAAAATAATATTTTTTGAAATAAAATAATATTAAATTGAATGCAATCAACACTGTTAAGAAACTAAATAATTAATTTTTTAAATAAAATTTATTTATTTATTTATTTAAAATAAATAAATAGATTGATTCATAATTACTCTATTATTAGGCGAACTTCAATCTCATTTTACAAGTTCTCTCTCATACTCCGCAAATCCATACAAACTAACATGACAAATTGTTTTAAAATGGGAACACTGCCCACTGTTTTTTCTTTCTTTTATTTTTTTTCCTGGTGACAGATCATGCTTGTTTTCTAATGCTTCATAATCAATGCCCATGAATAGATGTTGCAAGGTATATATATTTTTTCAAATGCATGGATGTTGTAACGTTAGGAAGCAGCCTGCATAAATTTCGGTTTGTAGATATTCTAATCAGGGAGGAATATAAAGTCATGCATTAGTAAAAATAAAATAAAAAAATTAATTAGTCAAAACAAAGCACATGTTCATCCTAAATACCGTCGCTAAAATATGTAACTGTAGTGTGATGCAACTAAATTTCCAATTAATTAAAAACCATCCTAAATACTTGCTTGAATAAATCCATCTGTAGAGGATATCTCCTCCTTCAAAAACACATATATATGTCAATTAGGGTTAACCGTTATAATTAACGATTTTGGATAGGATTTGTCCAAAAATCAATATTTTAGAATTCAAATTATATAAATTGATAATAAAAATTTAAAATTATCAAATTATACTAAAACGAAAGCAATTTTCACATAAAAATCTATAATATATATATATAATGCTATAAACATGATGCTTTTACCAAGATGAAAAAGAACAAGTGGGCAAAAAAATTAACAGTAAAAAAAAATCAATATAAAATAAATAACGATCAATTGATTTGACCATTACAATTAATGATTTTGGATAATATTTATAAAAAAAATTGATATTTTAGAATTCTAAAATAGTAATAAAAATATGAAATTATTAAATTACAATAGAACGAAAACAGTTCTTACCTTAAAACCTACAAAAAACCACCATGCTTTAACCCAAATGACAAAGAACAAGTGGGGTTGGGTGATATGGAAATTATCAAATCCCATAAGGGTGATGGTGGATCCATCCTATGATTCTTATTTGGCTGACGTGCGTAGTTTCACAAATTCATTCTGCTTGTTATAAGCTCCACCGTTTTTTTGTTTGTGTGTGTGTCTATTGTATATTCTTTGGATTCTTTTAAACGGTTAAGATTTTGGTGACCAAAAAAAAAAGTTATAGCGAGTAATTTTAAAGTGTACAAAATTTTAAAGAATTTTTGCACTGTTAATAATGAAAGAGTAAATTATTAATGAAAATGAAAGAGAAAATAATTAAATTATTATTAATAATTTATTAAATATAAATAAAAAATCATTTTATTTGTATTAAAAGATAAGAAAAATGTGGAGAGAGACTAAAAACAAATCAATATTGTCTATTGGATAAAATTTACCGTTCAAAAAATCAATACATAAGTCAATATGGAAGGAATCGTTACCTCCTTGAGAGGAATAAGTGAAAATTTAGCCACGAGGAAAGGTTGTCTAAGATTTTTTTGGGTTGCCTTTAAAAAAAAAAAATCACTTTCTCAAAAATAAATTGATGCTGAAATATGAAATTATAATTCAGACTGCATTTTGTGGCAAGTTGAAACTAGATCTACTCCTTTAGTCCAATTATATAAAATCCTTCAATGTTTGAATAAGAAAATATTTTTCAAATTTTACTTTTTTTTTTTTTTTTTTTTTTTTTTTTTTTACTTTAAGATTTTAACCAAATGAGTATTCTCAGCTGATTTCCATGCATTAAAATTGATTTTTTCTTCGATATTCGTACCTTAAGCAGGCTATCTACATGCACTTATAATTTTTTTTAAGAATTCAAAGATGATATAAATTTTTACTCATTTTGGATTTGCTTTATAAAAAATTCAAAATTTATTTGCAAGAAAATTTCTAATAGAATATTTTTCGCACATGTCATATTGGACATAGTTTGACAAAATTGTTTTCCAGTGAAGGAAAAGAGTTACCTTGCATTGGCGATAATGTTTTTTTCTCTTATCATAAAAAAAAATCTAATTTTAAAAATAAAACTCAAAATCACATGTTATCTTTATTTTTTTAAAAAAAAAAACCTTTAATAGGAAAAAGAAAAGAAAAGGAAACCTAAGTTTAATAAAGTTTCATTCTACACAACTAGAAAAAATCCATTCCTCCTATTAATCTCTCCTATCCATGACGAGAAGTGAATTTGACCCCAAACGTCCAAACAAATATACAAATTCATGACCAAAAGAAAAATTGTTTGGTAAATCATTTAGGTTATTCTAAGGCAATTTATTATTTTTATACGTGGAAGAACATGATCGTGTCTCGTATCATTAAGGTGCGTGTAGGAAATGGACACATTTTTTTCTTCAAGCATGCCTTTCTGGCCTCTTCCTCTATCATTTCCTTTGAGTAAATTATAAAGTAGTCCCTATGGTTTTCCAAAAGGAATTAAATAGTATCTCTAGTTTCAATAACAAATTCATTAGTTCCTATATTCTTATATTTATTTGTAATCTAAACCTTTTCAATTTATTTTGTTTTAAAATAAAAAATATATATGAAAAGATTGATGAGAAAAAATATATTTCTTAAAAAAAATAATTTTAAATTAATTATAATTTAATATTAAGGGATTAATTAATTAGTTTCTGAAAGAGAAATACTATTTAATTTGTTTTATAAAAGTAGAGAGACTAATTTATAATTTACAGCATTTCCTTTATCTTTTACTATTTTTGGGAGCGTTGAGTGGCACACATCCTTGCCATTATGTAGGTGCTTTGAATGGTTACCACTGGAAGTGGAGACTGCATAAACTACGTAAAAGATTGAAAAGATCTTGAAGTAACCTTGGAATGACAGGGATACCTACTTTCTTTTCGAAATTGGAATTTGTCTAATCTCACAAATTGCATGCGGGTTGTACTTATATTCGGCAAATCTTGTTCCCACAGGAATCTCTCAACTTTAAACCAACCCATTTCGTATTGGGCATACAGCCTGTAAAACATTAACATTTCAAATTATATAATTAATTTGCAACCCTTTTTCATCCTAATTTGCAACATTTATAATGAAAACCACATATGTCTAGCATGTCCTTAAAATACCTAAGATGCATAACTTATCTAATACCTTTAATTTCTTTTTTAGTGGTAAAAATAAATGTATAGTCAGATTGATCACGACAAGAAGTATTGCTATATTCATACCCAAACGCATATGAAAAAACCCTACACCACACTTATATTCAGATCAAAATTTAAAATGCATTTACAAATTGTAAAGACATCTGATACTTTTCTCCATAATAACTTTTTGATGCTGCTCGAAAATATTATACACGCTATACTAGTATGTTCCATTAAGTTGCGTGAAAATATAATAAAATCGCAAAAATAGTTAAGTCCGTTCTTATATAATAAAATTAATATTAATTTATTCTTATATGTTAAAACGAATCAATTATATTTTTATATTTCAGATAAGTTTTTAATCTGTTTTTTAAGTAAATTTTTCCGCGATCAAACTATTAGAAAAGTCATGTAACTTAAACATGACCGAATTTTTTTAATAAAAAATGCCTCTAAAAATAAATATGTCTTCCACACGTTCAGTTGGGGGTTTTTATTTTTTATTTTGAGAAAAATATTCATGTCGAAGTCATGCGATTTTTTTCATAATTTGGCTGAAAAAAAACTCATCAAAAAGACAAATAAACTCAGTTAAAAAACGAGTTAATACCTTGACCTGTTCTTATATAATGGATCAAATTTTCAATCTATTCTTATTAAAAAAGCACATCTGATATATCCTTATAATTTGAGCTGGTTTCAGTATGTTATTTTAGTTATAATTTAACAAATTTTTTTGTTAAATTGAAAATGTAATTTGCACATAATATATGATTTGATAAAATTACCTTTGTTATTTATCACAAGTGATCTATATCTACTAATATAAAAATTAATTTTTAAAAATTGATCTAAAATTTTGAATAGAAAAATAAATTAGCTCAAAATATAAAGACATAGCAAAAATATTTTTTTTAATAAGGATAAATTAAAAATCTGACTCATTATATAAGGTCAAGTGAGGGTATTAACCCTTAAAAAATACAAAAAACATAACTAATATATTTTAAAATATAAAAATAAATTAAATAGTAATTTTATTACATAAAAACAGATTAGACTATTATTTCTAATAAATTTCATTAAAAAAACTGTCACACGCATATATAACAAAAAAAAAAAAAAAGAATAAACTATATTATAATTGTAATATAAGAAAAGAAGACCGCCAACATATAACAGACTGCCTTTCTTGTGACTTCAGCCTTTTTAAACTAGTTACAACGGCAGCGATTATTATTTGCCAAAATTGGTGGAGCCTAAGGAAACAAAGAAAAAAGGCACACCAAAGCCAACTAGGGCTGTCCACTCGCATTACCACAATCATTCTATCTAATACATCATCCATGACATCACTTCCCCGACAACCCATGGGGACTGTCCAACTAACTTAACCGTACACGTGTCATCATCTCCACCATCTAAAATCTCTCATCAGAATGTCCCAGCAGACCATATATTGTAACACCCTATAGTTAATTTGGCCCTTCTAATTCTCCTCGCACTGTATACTACTGTTCTTCGACCTTTATTACACGTGGATACCATAAAATCTCTCTACAGCAAGATAATTAGTAGGCAAGAAATTAACATCATCATCAACAAGAAGAAGAGAGAGAGAGAGAGAGACAGAGAATAAAAGAGGCGTGGTGCTTTTTTTTAAGGATTGGAGGTTTTTTGAAGGATGACTAGCACAATGGCAGCAGCAGAACCTGACAAGTATAGCATGATTAACTTTGAAGAGACGGAATTACGTCTAGGGTTACCTGGAGGAATTGGTAATGGAAATGATGGTGAGGTTGCAAAGAGTATACATGGAAAGAGAGGGTTTTCAGAGACTGTTGATTTGAAGCTTAACCTCTCAACAAAGGAATCGCGAAAGGGACGAGATGAGGAGAAAGTAATGAAGGAGAAAACTGTTGCTTCTCCACCCACTGATCTTGCAAAGCCACCGGCCAAGTAAGTTTTGTTTTATTTTATTTTATTTTTCTCTATTTTTCATACTAGCTACTTATGGAGTTTTGATGTTTTTTTTATATATTTCGTTAAATATGTTTGTCTCTCTCTCGGTTATTTGCTTTGTATTAATTGCATGCTCAAATAATAATAATATTATTATTATTAATGAGAGAGAGAGAGAGAGATACGTTTGATAAATTCATTGTGTTCAAGAAGGTATAGAAATAGAGACTAAGCCAAAAAAAAAAAAAAAACTTGGATTTAATGAATCATTTGGTAAATATCTTGGTGAAAAATTCTACTTGTACAATTTTCTTTTCACATAAAATTGTCTTCGATCTCTTCCGTTTCATTATCTTATATTGTTATTAGTTTGTTCAAAAAATGTATTACTATTGATTAGTTGTGAAGCTATTAATATTTAATCTTATTCATGGAAGAGTTGTTGCTTGTTAGAAGATACTATGCTGCATTAATTGCTTCCTCTTCTTAGCTGGATTTTTCATGGCTTTGCCTGGTTGTCTGTGATAAAGGAAAAGAACAAAACATATGGAATCTTTACTTTTCTCGACAGCCAATCAACTAAGCATAGAGAAAAGGATAAGGATAGTCTGTTGCTAAGCTACCAAACGTTGTACTTGTGAAAATAAATTTTCAATCGTACGAATTCATTGTCTACCATAATTTATATTTAATCTTTCCCCTTTTATAAACAGGACCATAAAATACATATGAAAATATAGAACACCACTTGTTTTGTTTGTAAAAAAAAAAAAAAAAACTGTGGGGACTATAAGATATGTGTGAAGGGTGCTATTGTTGTTTTTTTTTTTTTTTTGGAAATTGGAATTCATAAAAAGGTGAAGGTTATTCTCTATTTAATTAAATTTATGAGAAAACTTGAGGTGAGTCAATTTTTTTATTTTTTATTTTAGTATGCTTTAATGCATGCATGTATGTTAAATCTGTGTTTGAAATCAATGTCAGGGCACAAGTTGTGGGTTGGCCACCCGTTAGATCATTCCGTAAAAATGTCATGGCCGTCCAGAAGAACAGCAATGACGACGGTGAAAAATCCAGTAGCAGTGGCGCCGCCGCGACTTTCGTTAAGGTTAGCATGGATGGCGCCCCGTATTTACGAAAAGTGGACTTGAAATTATACAAGAGCTACCAAGAGCTCTCTGATGCTCTAGGCAAAATGTTCAGCTCCTTCACCATTGGTAATAAAATGTTACATATGTGTAATTCCAAATTATAGTATTAAAAATGTAAAATATCATGAATATAAATAATTATCTTACGAAAAAATTACCTTTTTTTTCCGTCTCTAAAGGTAACTGTAGCTCACAAGGAATGAAGGATTTCATGAATGAAAGCAAATTGATAGATCTTTTGAATGATTCTGAGTATGTGCCAAGTTATGAAGACAGGGATGGAGATTGGATGCTTGTAGGAGATGTTCCATGGGAGTAAGTTCTTAATTAATTTTTAACTCTTAATCTATGGACGTTAAGAAACTATTTGATAAATGAAAGTAATTATGGTAACTAATTCTTCATTAATTTGGCAGCATGTTTGTTGATTCATGCAAGCGGTTGAGGATTATGAAAGGGTCTGAGGCTGTAGGACTTGGTTAGTACTGACCTGCCAAGAAATTCAAATTTGCAAATTATTTCTTAAATTTGTACAGTGAACTTTTCTTGATCTTGATTTAATTTTTGCAGCCCCAAGAGCTGTGGAGAAGTGCAAGAACAGAAGTTGAAGTGCTTTTTTAACCAGTTAATTTGGTCAGCTGATTCCAATTGTCCACAAAGGAAAGAAAACAGGCTCAAAAGGGTTTGAGCTTTGAAGTTTGGATGTGTCTGTACCATGGTTTTTTCTTTCTTTCTTTTTTATTTCACATATATAGTAAGTCCGAGTAAATGAGGAAATATGTTTGAAGGGATTTGTTAATTAGCTAGGGGCATGAAGCAATCATAGAAGAAGATATTTATAAAACTTCTTGTGTTATGTATGATCATGTGTAATGTTTATTGTCAAATGGCTTGCTTAATAACGACCTTAATTAATTAATTGTATTTTTCTAGGTTGTCATGAGTGTGTTTTTGCCCCCTCTCCATTTTTGTATTGGTTTTTTATTTAATTTATATATGCATGATGAGATTCTCTGCATGATAAGATATGTAATCTTTGGAGCATCATAGAATAGATCTTTGTTCTGTGTTTGCCATTTTATGTGATTGGTTGAGGAGGCAAAGTATATGATCCGTGAACAAAGTGATAAGGACGAGGAGCAAGGCCATGTGCTTGCTGTTGGGGGCTTTCAGGCCATCCATTATTTGTTGTTGGCATATCCCTCCCACTTTGGACCATTGGAAGCTGCTGAAAGTCAAATTGTTCAAAGTGAAGATGGGAAGGAATCCGTTGAACTCTATCTTTTGTAAAATAATTAATGTTCGTACTGGGAAACGTAACCTCCTTTTTTTAAAAAAAAAAAAAAAAAAACTAAACTTTTTACCAATCTAATTTCACATTTTGAATAGTGGGGGCTGTTAGAGAATATAATAAAATTAGATTTAAAAATATTAGATAATAGTTCAATTAAGTTTTTAAATTGAGTGATTCTTTAGTATGGTATCAGATCTTCTTATTCTTTAGTTCAATTAAGAATTCAAACAATACCATTCTCATTTTTCTTTTTTAATTAAAATTCAATTAGCAGTTCAATTAAGAATTCAAACAATACCATTCTCATTTTTCTTTTTTAATTAAAATTCAATTAGCGTAAAGGAGTGTATGATGAATCAATATAAGTTTCAAACCAAAATTTTTTTTTGCTTGAGAGTGTGTGCGCTTGTGAATTAATATAAAATTCCGAAGGAGAGACATGATGTGTGACTGATTACCTTCTAGATCTACATATGCAACATTAAGTGTTTTTTTTTTTAACTCATACATCAAACATACGCTCAAGCTTCTTAATAGAATTAGTACTGTTAGAATTTAAATACGTAATCTTTTACAATAGATCAAGATCACTTACTACGAAATTTTTTATTAGATATAGATATATTAGCCATTCCTTTTATCTAATTCACTTTCCTCTTAAAAAATTAATTTATTAAGATTTGAATCCGTAATTTTTTTATAATAGATCAAGATCATTTACTACTGAACTATAAGCTTTTCGATATAGTTACAACATTAAATTATGCTTATTTAATACCCAAAAAATAATTTCTTATTAGATATAAATATATTAGCCATTCCTTTTATCTAATTCACTTTCCTCTTAGTTGACTCACGAGGTATAAGAAACATCACAATTTTTTTTTCCTTTAAGTATGTGATGTCCTCATACACCGCAATCAAAGTCTAAGATTGAGCCCTAGCTAAGTTCTGCTAGTAATTTCTACATTGGCCAGAGTTCGTTCTGATACCTTAAGTTTCTAAAATTTTTGAGATTTTACCTACTTTATGGTGGCATACATCAGTGTGTGTGTGTGATATATATATATATATAACTCGAAGGGATATAAGACTCTGCTGCCTGAACCGGTCGTTTAAGGGCACTAATGATCTTAATGAGTGAACGTAGTTTAGTCAAGCCCACAACACCATTGACATTGGTTTATTTATCCATTTTGCCAGCGTTGAATTAATGATCCTAAGAATACTAGAAGCCAGAAAAAAATGTTCTAAAAAATTGCAACTTTCGTTTTTCATATAAACTTGGAAATGAAGAATAAGTTGGTTGGAGTCATGTGTGCAAGATTTCCAACATAGAACTAGGGATTTGCGAAGTGGGCACTTGTCTTCTCCTCATAAAAAATTCTTAAAGCCATAACATCATGAGGGTATTATGCTTTCTTTTTCTTTTAAGGCATACATAAATCTCTCCTTTTGATCTCTCCAACATTAAAGTGGGGATTTGTAAGATTTGTCATCTCCTTTTCAAAGATTCTCGAAACCATTAACTTGAGAAATATTTTGAAAATCTTCCCTTCTTTAGTAAGCGCCGAGTTGTTTAAGCACAATTTCACTGTCTCCGATAAGACAAAATCACATTAATCAATGGAAAATGTCCTCATTTGCTTTTCCTTTTTTTTTTTTTTTTTTTTGGAGAAATGATCATATAAATACATAGTTACAATTAGTCAGTTAATTTAAGTAAATAAGAATGCAACTACTTGTCCCACTTAAAAACAGAAGGAGGAGAAAAAAGCAACCACTTGCTAATCTGCATGTTAGTCCATGTGCTTTTGTTCTGGTTGGAAAAATATATTGATTGATGAAACTTGTTTGCTGGGGCTGTATTTATTTATTTTTGACAGAGAGATTCCACTTCTTTAATGCCTAACCATTTAAAATTTGGTAAACTTAGGAAGAAGCTCTCTAAAATCAAGTTCATTTATTTTTTTTCTGTTTACTATAAAAGAACGCTAATTATTTGCTTACAACTCATATGACTCCTATGAAAGAGTGGTATATAGAAGAGTAATGCTTCACATGAAATATTTCGATGGTTAGGATTTAAGGTCCTATTAACAAGATCTTAAATTCAAACTCCGATAAGTGGACGGGGATTTAGAAATTTTATAAAGCAATCTCAGACTCCTAGTGAGAAATTTTTAGATAGATTTGAAATTGTGCTTCTTGCTCTCATATAAAATTGGACTTCAAATATAATTTTCGCGATGGATCTTATCTGTACATGAGAGGAAAAATATAATTTTGAAAGTATCCCTATAGAATAATCTAAGACTTTATAATGAACAATATATATATATATATATATATATATATATATATATATATATATATATATATATATATATATATAAAGAAAGAAAGAAAAAAATACAAAACATCAAATGATTCGAATAAAATTGAATTATATCGAATAGATATAATTCTATTGAAGATAACTTTGAACATCAAGAAAGTAGATCACTAAAGAATCAATGAACAAAGAAGCACGTGTATTCTAACTATTATGTATTGATAGTTTTTTAGTGCAAGAAGTTTGAATTTCAGTGATTCTGATTTATTTAGCTATTATGTAATGAAAGAAAAATTATTTTATATTTTTATAACTTAAAACCTAATGGACCCGAGATAAATTAAAAATAATAATAATGAATTTATCAAGAATATGTGCAAAAGATCAAAAAGTTTGTAGTTTAGTAATAGTAATCTTTTGTAAGAGCTCATGAATTCAAATCCTAACAAACTAATTTTGTCGAAGCCCGAGGTGTTTTGGTTAAAAAAAAAAAAAGAAAAAAAGAGAGGATAGATGCAAAAGATATACGGTGAGTTTCAGCAATTGCAAGCAAGTTTCTTATATACATGGGCCAATACAACTAAAACAAACTGTTTATTTTGTTTTGAAAAATCGTTTACAAAAAAACTCTATATATGTACACTTAGATTTCTTTCATATTTATTAAAGAAATTTCTCAACTATGAAATTAAAACTTTCAAATGAATCCTCAAAAATAATTTTACATTAATCCCCTAACAATATTCATTTACAATTAAGTTAGTACGCACCATGTAATGTATCATATAATTTAATAATTTATTATATTTCCGTGTTTGGTTTCGAGACTTTCTAAATTATAATAGAACGTAGTATCAAAATTGTAACATCTTATCACATATATGAGATCACATAGTATATAAAATAAAGTTACATAATGAATTATGACATGATTAAAAATAACATTTCAAGGTCTTGATTGTGAAAAGGTTTAAATACGCTTTCCTTATCTTTTTATTTATTTACTATGCTTTATTTTATTTTAGACTAAGTTCTTTATTTTATTCTGTTTGTGTTTTTGGCATTAACTCTTTCTTATGTAAATCAAGTTGAGGGTGGAGTGAAATTCATTTCATAATTTTTATGTGTGTTGTGGGAGGATGATATGGGATTAAGGCCTATGCTTTTATTATTCTTGATATTCTATTAAAGAGTTTTTAAAATTTTTAATTTTAATTTTTATAATTTGACAGGTGAATTTGAGTTCAAAGTCCAAATTTATTTATATTTATATTTATATTTATTGTTTGGGTTTGGGTGTTTTAATCTGCCCGTAAATGGACTCTAATGATAATTTAAGTGGAAAATTAAGTCTTTCTTTAATCTTCAAATTAATTACTTCATTTAAAATTAGTTAGAAAAAGGTCTAACAACTTATAATTTAGGATAAAATACTCGACACAAAATGAATTTTCATAAATAAATTTTTTATGGTAAAAATACGAGGTAAACATATTAAAGTGACTATGATCATTTTTAGTTGTATAATTAATTTTTTTAACCAGAATTTTTACAGCCAGATTTTTTTTTTTTTTTGAAAAATTAAATAACGATGCTATATGTATGTTCGAATCATATTTTTTAACGATCATCTAAACATCAACGAATAGCAACTGCGACAAGTGCTATGCATTTAAAATGGTGCTTAAAAACTGTGTCATGATAGCTAGCTCTAAGAGGTCACTCAATCCAGTCCTTTTCTTTTCTTATTTATTAGGATTAGGAATCCTGATCGTAATGAGCATCTCCACTTACCCAAAAGAAAGTTGCTACTGTAGTATCACGCGCAGACTAAGTCCAAAAGGGTGTCATGATGTGGTCCTTTGATTTTATATGTATGCCCTGTCAAAGTGGAGAAAAAACAAGTGAAAAGGGAAAGATATGAAAGAAAGGTCAGAATAGTCATCATCAATAAGAGATTATCTGAGTGACTCTTTCAGTTTAGAAGATCATAACAACTTCATTATCATGTTGGGTTAATTAAGCGATATACTTATTTAAAGGAGAATGCACATCGAGTGCTTTGGCCATAATTAACATAGAGAATTAATGGTGCCCAGCTTCTCTATCAAAAACCAATTATGTTGTCCTATTAGTGATTTGTTTTAATTCAAGCACTAACCTTTTGCCCGTGATACTCTGCGAACAAATACTTATTCCATGCTAAAATGAGTTAGAAATTTGCACATGTTATTTTGATATTTTGATGTATTAAAAGTGATATGATTTATTATAATAAATTAAATATAATAATATTTTTTGTAATATTTATGTTATTATTATTTTGCTTGATTGATATAGATTTATTTCGATACATATGAAAACATTTAAATTTTTATTATTAGCGTACATGAGGCATGTTTGGAAAATAGAATCAATGAGAATTTTTTTCCCCCTAAGATTAAACAAGAATATTTGTTTCTTAGTCGGTTACCTGTGCAACACCGAGGATAAAATAAAATAAAATCATTTTAACTCGGATATTTCATACAATGTCATGGGTCTAATAAATATATAGAATTAAAATTGAAAAAAAAAACTAAATCTTTTAACTTTTTAAACAAAATGTTATATTTAAATAATTCTTTCTTATGCTTAAAAAATTGTAATAATCTAAATTGAAAGTTTAATTCAAAATTAAAAAATGCTTTTAAAATATAAATTTTCATAAGATTGTATAAAAAAAATAAAGCTATAATTAATACATGAACTTGTACAAAAATTAATAGATAATAATTTTTTAATTTCAAATTTCAAAAATAAATTAAATAAATTTACATTAATATTTTAAAATATATTTCTAAAATTTTTGGAAAAAATCTTTAATATACATAAATTAAATTAAATTAAATTAAATATTCAGGTGCAGGCCCGTGGGAAAGGACACCAGTCTCTACAAAAAAAAAAAAAATCTTAAAAAATAGAAGATATCAATCAAATAAAAAAAATAAAAATAAAGGATCTTAATATAAAAAATTCAAAAAATACACAGTGTAAATATATATGAGGTAAACCATCCTATAAAATAAAAGGTAACCTTAGTTCGAAGTTCGAACATATATACATGATATATATCCAAACAAACTGAACTCTTTCTGATTTTAAGATCATGTTATTCCTGTGTTATAAGCTATTTAAATGAATATCCCTTGTTGCTTGTTTATTTATTTTCTACATTGATTATCAGTCCCGCTTTTTATTAACAAAATGCAAACAGATCCCTCTATTACATTTTGTCCAATTTTGCTATTAAAACTAATGTGCCGGGACACCAATCTCTGCTCCCATTATTTGCAAAAAATTCTTAGCTACTATGTGCCTATTGTTCAATTTTAATTTCGTGTAATTCACACCTAGAAGTTTTTTTCGTTTCAACAATCCCATACATTGATGCCATCCCTAATTGATGGTGTGAACAAAGTACGAGTGGAGTATGATATAATAGATATATGTTAAGTAAAGAAATGAATAAATGATTTTTAGTAAGTAATAGACAAGATAATGAGTATAATATTTTTTAACAGATAGAATATAATAGTGTCTTAATGGGTTTGGTACCTAGTTCATTGTCATCCCTAATTGATGGTAGTTTTGCAAGCATTCCCTGGAGAATGTTTCCGGGGAATTTTGTTTTTATTTACCTAAGATGTTTTATCTTAGATTTTTAATTTTATAGATGTTTTAGCTTTGAACAGATAGAATTGGAGGCACATACGTACTTCAAGATCGGCGAGCAGATCGAACCTTTGTGGTCTCTTTTTCTTGGAACCCATTAAAACCCATAGGCCGAAAGTATTAAGATTGCACCATTCACCAAGTCATGGGAAAGAAACCCAAGCCCAGTCTGAGTGCTCTAGGTTTTTTTATGGCGAAATTCATTAAAGGAGGAATAATTACATTAAAAATCGGACTTGTCACGATAACTGCTTATAGATCCTACGATTATGTGAATAGGAATGCATGATTCTTGGAGTTAGCAAGTAATGCATTTTATTTAGTGTTATTACATCCACTCCATTAATTATTAATTACACTTGATTTTGTAGCCACAATGATCAACTATGCTCACTTTTTTATATTTTTCTGATTATTATGATCGAAATCCTTATTAATTGTCTGAAAAAAAAAAGAAAATTCATAACACTATGAAGTGTTATATTAAAAAAATACAGTGTACAAAGTAAAAAAGAGAAGAATTTTTAAAGGAAATAGAAAATTGGATGATGATGGTATAGTAATAGTGATCTATTTTTTAGTTCGACAATCAATATTTTTAGACTAATTTGTATGTCAATTAAAATTAAAATTTTTTAAGCGGTTTTAATAATACACTTTCTATATTGATATAATACATTTAGAAGAAAATAATAGTGTTCACTGTTTGTATCATATGAAACAAAAAAATAAATTAATTAATCTTTCATAAAAATAAAATACTTTAGCAAATGACATTAATTTTTAAACCAGAAGTTAGAAGAATACTTTTGATATATAATATTTAATGATAAATTTTATTTTTAGATCTAATTTCATAGAATTTGAAGTTTAAAATTGTTAAAAAGTATAAAGATATTAGTTGACTAACTCTTCAAATTAATGACATGAGATTCATAATTGAAGAAGTACACAAGAATAATAGTATGAGTAAATTATAAATTAGTACTTCTAGTTTTCCAAAATGAATTAAATATTTCCTTTAGTTTCAATAACTAATTAATCAGTTTTTTGTCTTTTTAAATCTATTTGCAATTTTTTTTTAATTTTCAATTTATTTAAATTTTTGTTTTAATAAATAGAAAAATAAAAAATGACCAGAAAAAAGATTTTTTTGTTGAAAAAAATAATATTAAATTAATTACGGTCAGCACTAATTGATAATTAATTTTTGAAATAAGAAAGGCTATTTAATTTGTTTAAGAAAACTAGTGATACTTATGTACAACTTACCCCAACACTCTTTGAAAAAAAAAAAAAAAACCACTATTGAGAATCTGGCCCATGTATACAAAGACAAAATCCTTAGGTCCAGGTCCACGCCACAGCTCACATGGGCTAACGTATACAAACAGCGACAGAATATAGGCAGTACTCGCCTTTTAGCAACGACATGTATCTATAACGAAGCACAGAAACTGTCCCAAATCGAGCTAGAAGCTTTTTATATCAGCGGAGAATTAAAGATGGTTTGGACCATGCACTTTGCATCTCCTTCATGTTCACCATAAATGGTAAAAGCAAAAATACTTTAAGCTAAATTATAAATTACAGTTAGGGATCACAATAGCGGGTATAACGCGAATATTTGTTGTACTTGATTCAATAAATTCTTATTAAAAATATTTAATAGGTTTTCAGTACATGGTACTTACTTTATATCCTATTAATATTTATTAATTTATTTTTATTTTTTTAATATATAGAGATCTAATTGCATAAATTTTAAAAATTAAGAATTGATTTTTTTTTAAATTCGAGGATAAAAAAAACTTAAATTTTAAGGATCAAATTTTTTTTTTTGTAAATTATAGAAACTAAAATAAAATATTTTGATAAATTATTTTTAATTGATACTAAATAGATATTAAATGTACCAATAAACTTATATGAACCGAATAATAACTAAGGCAAAAAGTTGAATTAATGAATTGATCTTTATCTATTCTCATCCCTAATTACAGTAACATCATATCGTTATATGCTTCCAGATTCAATCAATCATGGAACGATGGTAGAAAAAAATACGATAATTAAAATGCAACGTTTGAAGAAAGTGTTTATTCATTGCTTGTATTAAATTTCCACTCAAGGCTTCCCTGATAACGTTTTACCTGCTCCATGTGGCTTCTGTCAATTTTGACACAGCTGTATCTGGATATACTTTGGATATACCTTAATCAAAGATAATACTGAAGTCTATGAAAGCACTATTAGTCAAAATATGTTAGATAAAGCTAAGGTTATCTAAAACTTAATTTGGCAGCACCTTCTTTATTGAAAATCAATTATAAAGTAGCAGCCGGTACCTTCAGGTCATATCACTTTGACAAGCAACTCAAAATCACGCATGTAGCCGCCTCACACTGTGAATTTGTCCACGTGCACTGATCATCTGCCTTTCACACGATCAATCTCTAATGTCCACAACGATCACTAGTGACCCTTCTCACCGACAATTTGTCCTTGTCTTCATAAAGATATTAAACAGGGTATTTTGGGGATTACAAATCAACCCACTCTGCTATAAAATCCCATGAAATGTTAGGCCATGATTCATGAAAACCTAGAGAGGTTAAGAAATGGGGAGAATTAGTAATGCAATCTTAATCGTTTTATTCTGTCTAATAGGTGGTGCAATTGGTGAACAATGTGGTAGGCAAGCAGGTGGTAAGACCTGCCCTAATAACCTATGTTGTAGCCAATATGGGTATTGTGGAGACACTGACGATTATTGTTCGCCATCCAAGAATTGCCAAAGCAATTGCAAAGGCGGCGGCCAAAGTGCGTCAAACGTGCGTGCAACATACCACTTGTATAATCCACAAGAACATGGATGGGATTTGAATGCAGTTAGTGCCTACTGTTCTACGTGGGATGCTAACAAGCCTTACTCATGGCGAAGCAAATATGGCTGGACTGCGTTTTGTGGCCCGGTTGGTCCCCAGGGCCAGGCTGCTTGTGGCAAGTGCTTAAGGGTAAGATATATATCAACATGCTTTTCTTTCTTTTAATCATGTCTTTCTTTCTTTGGGTTTCGAACAACATAATTAGCTACTACTATTAATTAATTGCCTGATTAAGGAGGGACGGTACGTAATTCGCACAGATGAGAAATGAAAACTACATAATAATCATCCTAATTAATTTGATGCATGTAGGTGACAAATACAAGGACAGGAGCTCAAGCAACAGTGAGGATCGTGGATCAATGTAGCAATGGAGGGCTAGATTTGGATGTGAACGTTTTTCGTGAATTGGACACGGATGGAGATGGATATGCAAAGGGACACCTCATAGTGAACTACCAGTTCGTTAATTGTGGTGATTCTGTCAACACCCCTAAACCTCTACTCTCTATTATCGATGATGAATAGACTATATGTCAAGATATGATAAAGATCCTATAGCTATGGGCTCTGTTAATAAGCACCAGGTGATGTAATTAAGGTCAAAGTTCCATTTGGCCAAAGTCGTAATGAACAAATATTTCTCTCAAAAGTTAAAGTATCATTTACACTTTAATAATTTATTCACTAAAGATTAAATTCACTTAACTGAATAAGTATACAAATGTTCAATATATATATATATATATATATATATATAAGCTAATGTGTAATTTGTAAGAATAATGGTTAATCGATCAGGTAGAATATATTCAAATAATAAGAGATGTAGAAGAAAAAACAGACACTGTTAACAATAAGTAAATCTAGAAGAAAAAATAGATAGTGTTAGCAAAACATAAATCTAATAATGAGAAGATGAATGATTAAAATCCAAACCAATGGAGTTTTAACTTTAAGAAAAAAGAGAGTTTAAAGATTTTCTTAAATATTTAAAAGTTTTCTTTTATAATGATGTAATGTTGGTATTTATATTAAAATGAGAATATTTTTTACTGTTAGAATCATGTCATGTCATTTATATTTAGATGATTAGATTTGAATTAAAAAATATCAATTTTTTTGGATTAAATTGTTTTAACTTGTTAACAAAAGCTAAATGAAACAATAATTGTGTTTTTTTTTTTTTTCTAACAGCTTCGAACCTATCAAGTCAATATCTATAATGTATCCAAAAAATAAGATATAACACTGATTTTGTCATAATACCTGTATGCATCTTTTTGCTAATCCAAAATCTTGTAATGGACAAGACTCACCTATGGTCTAATATATTTATTATGTAGTTTAGATCTATCTAAAAAATAAAAAAAAATAATAAATTAAGAAAATTACTTAATTAATTTTAAAAAATAAAAAATATACATGTTCTTATGCAAAAATAGGAATAAAATGATTATAGGATAATGAAAGAATAAGAATAATCAAAGTTATAAAAGAGGCAGGTAAATACAAAAATAGCCATTTGTCCCTGAAAAATATCTTGAGCCTGGTATGTCCTACGAGACGATGGAGGCCAAGCCAGGCTTGGTTGGGCTTATTAGATGAAAGCCCAATCACCTATTCCTGACTGTTACGCTTTCGGTTTTTTGAATGTTTTTTTCCACCATTTTGGCCATGTAGGAAAGAGGAATAGAACAAATAATAAGAATAAAAGTCTTTATTTCACGGGTCATTTTAAGGACAAAGAATGGGATCCACATTAAAATGATAAAAGAAGATAGGATAAAGACAAGTGAGGAAATGAAAGTTACGTCTATAACAGAAGAAAGAAATAACAAAGAGCACGTCCTAGGAGCTTGGGGCATGCATGGGAGAGGACGGTTGCCAGCAAGGGTTTATAAATGTCGTGGTCCGGTTTTCATATTACAAAAAAACACTAAAAGAGACGAGGTGATGTTATTCATAGACTGTTTACCTTCACATATTTAATTGTGGACACATACTATTGTTTACTGTGCTTTCCTTCTCATTGTGTTTTCATCCTCCCTCCTTTGCTCTGTCTTCGTGTTTCTTTGTCCGCCTTTGATCTTTGACCCTTCGCCATTATATTTTCTTTCTTTATCTCCTTCCCTAGGTTTGTTTTGTGTCCTCAAAAAAACACCCTTTAATTGTTTGTTTAATTGCTTTCTTGTCACTAAATTATGTTGCTATGTTGCATTTCTGCTCCTGTTTCTTAGTTTCCCCTCGTTCATTCAATGTCTCTTTTCATCTTTTGGTGATGTTTGTTGGAGAGCATTTAATGCTATGCAGTTGCATTGCTCTTTGATGATTTTTTTTTCCTTTTTTTTTTTTCTTGCCTCAAAAGTCAAGATCAAATTATATCAATTATCCAACCACTTAAATCAATCACATTTAAAGAAGAGCTCTCAAACCATATAGTAGTAAAAAAATAAGCAAAAGAACACTAAAAGAGATAGAGTAATACTATTCATAGACTCTTCATCTTCATATGTTTAATTGTGGACACAGACTATTGTTCATTGTGCTTCCATTCTCATTGTGTTTTCACCGTCCCTCTTTTGCTCTGTCTCCGTCTTTCTTCGTCTGCCTTTGATCTTAGACCCTTCATCATTGTATTTTCTTTCTTTATCTCCTTTTCTGGGTTTGTTTTGTGTCCTCAGGAAACACTCGTTAATTGTTTGTTTAGTTGCTCTCTTGCCGTTGGATTATGTTGCTAGGTTGCATTTGTGCCCCTGTTTCTTAGTTTCGGTGGCTTATTCAATGTCTCTTTCATCTTTTGGTGCTATTTGTCGAAGAGCATTTAATGCTATGCAGTTGTGCTGCTCTTTGATAATTTTTTCCCTCTCTTTTCTTGTCTCAAAAGTCAAGATCAAATTGTATCAATCATCCAACCACCTAAATCAATCACATTTAAAGAAGAGCCCGTAAGCCATATAGTAGTAAAAAAATAAGCAAAAGATCAACAAGGGATAGAGTTAATGAAAAAAATCTCAAAAAATTAAAAAATAAAAATCTCATTTTTTCATAAAATAAGCAAAAGAGAGAGTGAGAGAGAGTTGATGAAAAGGAAAACCCTAACAAAGAGAATCAATAGAAAGAATAATAGGAGGGCGAGCAATCGCAGCACCAAAATGAAAAAGGACACGTTAATAAGCCACTTTCAAAAAGGCCAACACTACCAAATCCAATCATCTTCTTCCACCTTAGCGGCAACGTCATCTTGCTTCCAGAACCTCCAGGACTCCAACTTAACTGATCCTCCGCCGCTAGCCGAGGATGTTGATGAAAAAGATTTCATCCTCAGTCAGTAATTATTTTGGTAATTTTTGTTTCATTTTTTGGACAATACATGAATATGAACTTAATAATAATGTCTTTCCTTTTAATGTTTTGTGTTTTTGATAATAGGTTTTGGGTTTTAGTTAGGGATTTATCCGAAATTGAACATTGAATTATCAATTTAATTTTTTTGAGTTTTAAATTAAATGCAATCCCTTTTTTATGTCAATGAATTTGTACATGCAATCTGCAAGTATTTGAACTCTTAATCTAATTTTTTTGTTTAACACATTATTATAAATGCAGCACTCCAAATCATATCATACAAAATAATCAAAATTTATTCGACAGTTTTGACTGCAACAAGGTGATGCTGTCAACAGTATTATATTACTTACAGATTAACATATGCATGCAAATTAAAACGAATTTTTAGATGTCTTGATTAATTTACCATAGGAAAACATTTTATGTCCCAAATCGCGAGAGAAAGTAAACAATGTCGAAGTAAAAAAGCTTCAACAAGGTAAGATGAGTTATTTTATATTATGCTAAAATCTCGGTTGTTGTTGCAATTGGCTTCATATTGCATAATTGGGAGTATTGTTCATAGAATTTAGAACTATATGGTGTTAGATGCTAATTATATGTATAATTCTCTTGCATGGTATCCCTAGTTAATCCTTTAAGTCCTACATTGTCTAATCATAAACAAATCATGGATGTCAAGAAAGATAACATCAATTTAAAAGAAATGATGATTAAAAAAAACAATTATTAAAACAAAGAAGCTTTCAAAATTATGTATCACAATCTATTATTTCTTTACGCTGTCAGGTTATGCCTCCTTTCTGCATCAAGAACCCGTATTTAACAGATGACTGAAAAGTGGGTATAGATCCATTTGGCAATCAAAGATCAAAATTTGTCAGTTATCAGTGAACTTCATGATTGGCAGACGATTACAATTATAGTTTCCTTTTCATTTTTTTCTATAAATTTTAGAAGGGAAAATTTTGCTTTAGAGAAATTTTTGTTACTTAATGCTGCAATCTACAGGATTTTTCCCAGCATTTACTGGTGGAGGTGGCCTATCACGCCATCACATATATTTTTATGAAATCCAGGTATTCATTTTAGATTCTGAAAGCTCTAACTTTATTCATATCATTACGTTTCATTTTTTGTGCTCGCTTACCACCTTGATATATTCTTTTCTATTAAGTGTGGCTTCATTGCCTCTAACTAATACTTGACTGCCAACCATTCTAATTACTTTATTTTGACAAATATTTTGTTGCATGTACGGTATGGTCTGGATCATCAGCGATGGCATGGCATCACTAAAGCTGGAATGTTGATTGCTAACAATATTGCTATAACATGCTTCGGCTATAGCTATCAGTAACTTATCTTTCACTATAAATGGAATATCAACACATATATATCTCATAATCATTAATCAATGTCATTGACAAGCAAACAAATTTCAAGTCCGATGCAACAACTACTTTGAATCGATACTAGACCACCATTTCATTGTAGTTGGTGTTTTTGACGACGACTACGATTATGCCCTCGTCGAACCAAATTTTTAGCCTACTGAAAACTAAACCCCTCTACCAATAACGCATTGAATCATGCTTTTCCTAAGTTGTTTCTACTTAAAGCATATTGATGTTTAATAACTAGACTTTTCAGTCCTGTTTTTTCTTGCTGCTTGGAATTATACCTGGTTGGCATATTTTCCAGTAAGAAGATTGCTTGCTACATGGACTAAACATGTTCTTGTCTTTCACATGCATGAGATTTTTGTTATTTTATCTACTTATTTGCCTTAAGTTGAAAATCAGCATTTCTTGCAACTTTACTGTGGAAGTCAATGCTTTTGCTTAAATTTTTTTTTAAAAAAAAACATTATGTGCGGTTTCCTCTTGTATGTTTGAGTGCAACTAATAAAAATTGTGCTAGAACAGTGGCGTTGTTAATTTAGCACCAAGAAAAAGAAAAAAAAAAAACAGTTGCTTGGTGCACACCTGCCCTTAAACCATCCCTTTGCTTTGGTACATCAACCTTATTTCTTTCTACCAACCATTAAAAAACATAGCTGCTGCTAGCGCTCCAATCTCAAAAACCTTTATTCCTCCAAGTAGACATGCATCACAAAAACAACTATAATCTTTTTTAGTTACCTGCAACGTAGCGAGAGTATAAATCTAGTAGTTTACTAGATGATGGAGGCTATTACAATTATTATTATTTTATTCTCGAGTATTCCAAACTTAAAGATCGAACTGATTTTTTATTATTTTATTGGACATATAAGATGGACATAACTATTTAAAAAAATTTCTGTATACACAAAAACTCGAAATCGAAACAATTTATTTAAGCGATTAGAATCATTTTTGCTCAAACCAATCCTCTTTTATTGAGGCTATTTCACTCTAATCCTAGCCAAAACACTAAACTAAAATATTTTTAAGGCTAATGGTCAAACTATTAATATGTAAGATAAACTTAATGCTTTATTATACTCAAAAGAGACTCATATAATATAGAAATAATTATCTTGAAATACTTTAATATTATTTTTAAAAATATCTTGGTTGATATATATATAGTATTAAAAAATCTCTAAGATATCACATTTCACATTCTTTGGGTTTAAACATATATCCTCAAATAGAATGAATAATTCAATCCTTATGCTTGTTCGACATATCCTATTTATATTTTGTTTATCGTTAAAATTAATTACAATAATAAAGATTATAAACATTTAGGACTAAAAATAAAATTATTTATAGCTTTAATTTTAACTTCATGGCCTTTGAATTTTATAATTTTAAAATCAGAAATAGATTTTTTAACTCACTTTAAAAAGTAATCAAGTATTTTTAATTTATAGTTTTAAATTAACAATTGATTAACCATGAATAACTTTTTCTTTCTTTTTTTTTTTTTGGAGGGGGGGGGTGAATATTTGATTAGTATTAAGGATCAGGCCCAATATACAAAGACAGAATCCCGACATCCAGCTCCAGAGGCCTATCAGGACAAGGTCCACACCACAGCCCACATGGGCTAACATAGACAAAACGGTGACAGGATAGCAGCCCAGCACTCATCTTTTAGCGACGAACAACATGTATCTATGAAGCACGTATGTCGGTATGTGTGACGAATATAAACTGTTGTCGAGTTTGCAATTCCTATCAGAACAACCTAATCTTTTCGTTTATTTCATGTGGTTTTTTAATTTATGTTTATTTTTCAGTTTAAGAAATAGGAAAAAAAAAAAGAAGTAGATAAGATGGAAATATTTATAAGAAAAAAGGTATTTTTTTTCAAACAAAATATTACTAAATTGAACATAGCAAAAACTGATTAAAATATAGTTTAATTAATTTTTATATTCTAAAGATTTATTTATTTATTTTGATAAACTATAAGGTCTGAGTTATAATTAACTCAAGAGTTTAGCACATACACCATACATGTACAGAGAGAGAGAGAGAGAGAGAGTTTAACACGCATGACTATATAATGTCATAGTATGTAATTTATTTAGACTGAGATTTTTTGGATATTTTTTTTGTCAAAGTTGAATAAAAAGAAAAACACTTCTAGATAAATTTTTTATTAAAATGTAGAATTCAAATTTTAAAATTGTATTTATTGAAAAAAATAAATCTTATTTTTTTTAAAAAAAAAACAAGTTTTATTTTCAATATCAGATAGAGATTTTCAGGTAAAACTAAAAAGAAAAAAACATTCGGCAAATATTTAAGGATGCTCTGTTTCTTTTTAGGCACCATCAAAGGGCACAGAATTTGCAATTAATTGTGGTGAAAAACAACACTTGTTCGTAAACAATAATAAACGAAATTGAGAAAGCATAATCATGACAATCGCTTGCTTATAAACAATAATCACATAAAAAAAACACTTATTTACGGAGTAGCAGCCGGCGTCTTTCTCATTTTCGCTAACACCTCAAAAAGTCAAAACCATGTAGGCTTTAGGCGCCTCGCAATGTCTTTGGATTTGTGCAGACTAATCACCAGCCGTTTAGTTAATCAATCTCTAACCTCCACAACCATCCGAAGAAGCATCAACGGTCCAAACCAAATCAACTTATTCCAGTCGTTAAAGTTACACTACTCCTAAGCAATTTTATCATAAAGAAACCAGGGCCTTCTGGGGTACACAAATCAACCCACTTTACCATAAAATCCCATGAAATGTTACAGACTGTGATCAATGAAAACCCAGGTGGGCTAAAAAACGGGGAGAATTGCCAAAGCAATTGCAAAGGTGGCGGCGGAGGAGGAGGATATATATATATAAATATAAACATGCTTTTCTTTTTTACCCTCTCTCTGTTTTTTTTTCAAACCTCTGACAATTAGCTACTAATATTTTAATTAATTGCATAATTAAGGAATGACAATAATATATGAAGTGAAAATCGTCCTAATTAATTTGATGCATGCAGGCGACAAATACAAGGACAGGAGCTCAAACAACGGTTAGGATTGTGGATCAATGTAGCAATGGAGGACTAGATTTGGATGTGAACGTTTTTCGTAATTTGGATACAGATGGAGATGGATATGCAAAGCGGCACCTCGTAATGAACTACCAGTTCGTTAATTGTGGTGATTCTATCAACACCCCTAAACCCCTGCTCTCTATTATCGGTGATCAATAGACTACGTGCCCAGATAGGATAAAGATCTTATGGCTATGGACTCTTTTAATAATGGTGATGTAATTAACGTCAAAGTTTCATGTTTGTGATCAATAATCTCTCTTTTTTCTTTTTCGTTTTTTTTTTTTTTTGCCTTTTTTGTGTTTATTTGTAGAGGTAGTAGCATGTGTGTGTACCGGGCGTTGTGTTGTTTATTTGGCGAATGGATTTTACGGTAATCTTTTCTTTTAAAATATTGTAATTTAATAATTTTAAATTTAAGATATCAAATCGCGTAATTTGATCCCTAATGTCAAAGATTTGTCTCTTGAGAAAAATTAATCTGGATTTCAACTGCTGAGGCTGAAGTTTAATCTTTAAGCCACCAAATCAATTCATTAGAACATAATTTTCAGTTGGTATCAATTCCAATTAAGAATTAAAATAAATGTAATTTAAAAATAAAATTATGGAAAGATTTGTCTCTTGAAAAAGATTGAAAGACAATATTATTAGAGATTCTGAGGTGGAGGTGGACCGGAAGACAAGTCATCTACTTGGTTTTGATTCTATTGTTCACTCTAAAGTTTCAATTTGGTCTTTACAAACTTTAATTGTTTGTAATCATGTTCTTTTTTCTATGCAATTTCAGTTTTTTTAAAATATAATTTTATTAATTGAATTCTTATAGAGTGTAATTTAAATTATAAATTTTTCAATTGATTTAATTGTACCTTCAATTACCTTAATTATACTTTCTTTTAATGTCATTGTGTCCGTAGAAGATATTTTTTTTGTATTTTATCCTTTATTCAATTTTTAGTTTTTTTTTATATAATAAACTCCAAAATCAAATCAAAATAATATAGTATAAAATAAAATAAAAAATAAAGAAATTGATAATAATAATAAAATATGAGGAAATTTTGGGTTAGGACAATGGATATATTTATTGAAAGAAATTTTTACAAACATAAAAGACTTGAAATCGAACCGAATTGGGGATTAGAATCTGGCATTTGCTTGAAGGATTAGAATCTGTTCAAGTCAATCCTCTAGGCTAGACGCCGGCCTCTTCTTTACATCCTTAAAATGCGGAACCTTGCTTGTATGCTTCTCTGAATTGACTTTGTCCTTTATGGCACAACTTACCACCGCCTGCTCATAGATAAAGCCACGCTCTACGACGAGTTGGGTAGTTCTAGATTCCACACAAAATAGTTGCCTCTTTTGACTCTGCAAATCTAATGCCTACGCTCTCGCCGCCTAACCCCTTAATTGTACCCACACTATCGTCCTTTTCCAAAGATTATAGCTTAATATATATATATATATATATATATATATATATATATATATATATATGCACCCCCTGAAATCATAATAAAAATTTCTTAAACAGAGGAGTTTAAGTTTTTTTTTTAATTAATAGACAAGGGATATTATCAAATCAAATCATTCTATATATCGATTATAGCTAAATTCCTTATCCAAACCATCTAATTATATTGGAAATTTATTTAAAAATATTTTTTTTCTAGTGTAACTTAAACTTAGCTTGAATTTAAGGGAAAAAATCACATTAAAATTAAAAAGCATGTTCAAGCTAAAATTTTCTCAGTTTTAAAGTGATGTGACACATATATAATTCATATGATTTATTCTGAAAGAATGATGAATATTCTCGAAGTAACCGATTTTCTTCCCTATATCTATAGCTAGTAAATTCTAAAAAAAAAAAAAAAAAGTGCTGGTAAATTTTCAAATGAACCAAAGAGTACAATTTTAACATCATTAATTAGGACCAGACAATTAACAGTCTTACCTCGTTTGGATTTACGGTTGAGCCGGTCGAGTCAAAAGAGACGATTTAGAAGTCGTGATGAGATGGATAATCAACGATCATGCCATGCTGCTCGAAATACGAAAGGTGGAAAGGGTATTCGTACTTATACGGCGGTGACGTCCTTTATCCTCCTTATAAATTCAGCACCATTAGCATAACTTCATGCAAACAAAAATTTAAATACACAAAAGAAAAAGAAAATGGAGAGGTCAAGCTTGTTCGTGGTATTCCTTCTCTGCCTAGCAGCTGCTGCCATGGCCCAAAACTGTGGCCGGCAAGCTGGAGGCCGGACTTGCGCTAACAATCTTTGCTGTAGCCAATGGGGCTTTTGTGGAACAACTGATGATCACTGTTCACCTTCCAAAAATTGTCAAAGCAACTGTAGGCCTGGTGGCAGTGCCCCCGGCAGTAGTGGAGGTGGTGAAAGTGCTTCCAATGTGAGAGCTACATACCACTTCTACAATCCTGAGCAAAATGGATGGAATTTGAATGCCGTAAGTGCTTATTGTTCTACATGGGATGCTAATAAGCCATTGGAATGGCGTAGACAATATGGTTGGACCGCTTTTTGTGGACCGGTTGGACCCCGAGGACAAGCTTCTTGCGGCAGGTGCTTGAGGGTAAGAATTAAGTTAGAATATACAGTGTGTGTGTATATGTATATTGTTTTAATGTCACTGTATATTGTTTGACATGATAATTAACAGTGATTTTCTAACTAATTAATTGGTCAAACATCATTCTGATTTTTCTTTTATTGTAAATGAACACCACGATGATCAGTTTAGGAATAGGAAATATTGTTTATCAATTGTTTTTAATCAATGATGATTTAATTAATGGTAATCCAAGCTTGATTGAAGGTAAAAACTAGAGCTTGGAAGAGCTTATTAAATAATTTGATCATATACACATGCAAATTGTATGAATATGTGGCTATATATCTATTTTCTATTATGGTTGCCATGAATACAAATTTAACCAAAATGATCATTAAGTTAAATTTGATTTGCATTCATGTATAGGTGACAAATACCGGAACAGGAGCTCAAACAACTGTGAGGATTGTTGACCAATGCAGCAATGGAGGTCTGGATTTGGATGCTGGAGTATTCCGGCAAATAGATACTGATGGAAGAGGCAATGCTCAAGGCCACCTTATTGTGAATTACCAGTTCGTGAATTGCTGATCAAATTAAAAGCACTATCCTATACTAATGCTATGATGAAAATAAATAGAAACTCAATAAGCTAGCTTGTTAATTTCAATGTATTACTGAATATTTGACGTGTTTCTCGAATAAGAAGCTAGCTAGCGAAGGTTGTAACTCAAGCTTGTGGAATAAAATCTCAAAAAAATTGCAGCAAATTTTCAATTCATGCAAAAATTGTGTTTTATGATCTTTCTTTCAATCATTTTGGGAGAAGGATATCTCGATGACATGATAATGGCAATTAACCTTCTTTAATCAATATGCGGATGAGGATGAATCCGATGACGAATCTGTTGCTGTTCCTAACTGATGGAGAGCTCTTTCCCAGCATAACCCAATAGGAAAGTCCACCAGCCTCCAACTCTAAAACTCATCAGACTCAATCAAGGCTCATAGTTCATTGAGAGGAACTAGTCCATTAAACATGCATGTCTAGAGTTTCGCCATCTCTCCAAGAAAAGTTTTTGGAATCCTCCAACTTTAGGACGCTCCAATCCAGAAGAGAAAGATACTACACTCCTTAGTTATCACTCGACGACAAAACATTGAATGAAGAATCCTCAATAATGACATAAATAAGATCCCCACTCATCATGATTGCACTAATGATGATAAAGTACCAATACTCGTTAGCTCCTTTGCTAACTTTAAAGAGGAAATTACAAACATTTTTGCCTTCTCTATCATGCAAAAGACCCCTTCTATTGTCTATATAAAGAGAAGAATTCTCTAAGGAATGGAGGGATCAATCAAGGAATGGACCAATTAATAAGTCTATCAATAAAAAGAGAGAGAAGACATCTAAAAAAAAAAACTTCAAACAGGTGCAACAAACACTCACCATAGGTTCCTTATCGTGTCTAATTTCCTCTCTCATAATAAATTACACATTATCTAGTTCACACTAGTGCCAAAAAAAAAACTTTGCATCTCAAGCCAAATCGCCACTTTCCAAAGACTAAATTCAGTGTCATATGGTTCTTCGTCCAACCAAAAAAACCTGTTTTACAGATAAGAAAATCCTCCGTCATGCTCTATAATCATCTAACAATTGACAATGTTATCTTGAATCACGTATCTTTAATTTATTAGTTAAGTTGATTGATAACTCATTAGCTAGTGCTGTTCGTCGAAATATGAGTAAATTAATTTAACTCTCTCTTTTATTTAATTTTTTTTCTATTGAAGCCTTCACCATTTTGATCCTCCTTAATTATCATATTTCTCTTTTTCTTTGATGTTGTCATTAAACAACACCTTTAATATGTGCAAATAATCACACATTTTAGGTGATGTCATACTCAAGTTATCGTTCTAGTCATTTGACATTTTTTTCTTCTAGAATTCTTTTTTAATATTTCAAAGGAAAATTGGATTAAAAGTATAGATATGATATGTTTGGGAGAGAGTGTATGAGAAGTAGTGATAATGGTTGTTAATATTTTTTATTAAAAAAATTATTTTTTTTATCATTTTTTTAGCGTAATTTTATTCTTTTATTGTTAAAAGACTACTAGATAGTGTTGATGAAAAATAAAAGCTTATCATATTTTTTTATTGAAAAAATATCTTTTGTAATGATTTTTCAATTTTAATTTTTTCATTCTTATCTTTTGGATTATATTGAGATATTCCATAAATTTTAGAGGCAAAATTAAAATATACACCAAGTGGAAAAAAAAGAAGATAAAGAGTCTAATTGAAACAAATCAAATATTTCAGACAAAATTGAAAAAACACATAAAGTTCGGAGAGGAAAATCAAAATTTACTCTAAATTAAATTAAAATTATAAGACAAAGTACTACCATTTTTTCCTTGAATTGAAGAAAAAGGTTGGCTTATTTGAAAATAAATATTAGATTAATTAAATTAATATTAAAGATAATGAATTAAAATTATTGAGTAAAGTATACACTTAGTTTCCTATCATTGGAGAGTTTGGAAAGGCAGGGCTTTTAAAATTATAAATAAATTAATACTAAACAGATATTGCGTAATTATTTTTTTAACTTGAACAAATATATTAAAATTATTGGGTAAAATATAAACTCTTCTCACTCTAATTGGAGAGGTAGGGTTTTTTAGAATTAGAAATTACATTAATATTAAATTAAAATTATTGAGTAACTATACATCTTTTTCTATAATTTAAATTTAAATTTATAATTTCCAAAATTTCTAGGTTTTTTTAATTCTTTTATTATTCATTAGTTTTTTCATGGAAGTTTGACTCGACTTTGTAGGTCAAGGGAAAAAAAAAGGTATGGATAAGCCACATTTTATGGCACAGTTGTCGGACTTGTAAAAAATGACTGCGTATCTTGACCACCCTCCACACTCCAATGCCAGTTTTTCTTTTGCAACGTCCCTCCATCCCCTCCTATGACCTTCTCTTTCTTTGAGGATTAGTGTACTTTCTAGAACGTCAAAAGTGGCAACAAGAATTCCACTGAATCCAATCACAAAGAGTTTCGATGGTGTTTTTGTGGGATAAGTGACAGATCATTGTAATCCTTTCAAAATTTATCAAAGCAATTATAGGTCTGGTGGTGGTGGTGAAAGTAATCACTACAATAAAATAAAAATATAAAAATGATATGTTTCAGATGGTTTAGAGAACTTCTTCAAAGTTTAATAGCTTTTTATCACATATACATTATATAAAAATAAGTATGAGACCGTTTATAAAATTGCCTCAATTTTAAGAAAAGTGTGCTATTTTATTTCTTAATATTTTATTTATTTATTTATTTTTGTTCTGAAAGGGAGAGATCAGCTTTATTATTCCTGTCTTCTTAGGATTTTCCTTCTTCTCTTATGCTTATTCCTTGGTTCTTCCTCCTCATATATATATATTTTTTTTGGGGTTCTGAAAGAGAGAATGTAGCTTCATTATCCCTCTCCTCTTAATGGAGGTGGAGGTGGTGGTAGTACTTCAAACGTTAGAGCTACGTATCATTTCTAAAATCCTGATCAAAATGGATGGGACTTGAATGTTGTAAGAGCTTATTGTTCTACATTGGATGCCAACAAGCCATTGGCATGGGGTAGAACCGTAGAAATATGTTCGGACAGCCTTTTGTGGACCGATTGGACGTCGTGTTAGTGTTCTATCTAGAAAGTGAAAAGCGGGAACTTGAATCCAATCATAAAGAGTTTCATTATTTCATAGGATTGACTCTAGAATTAACGAATTCAAGGAAGAAATTGAGGATATGAACAACAGTAAAAGTGGGATAATGAAGTGATAATGCCATACTTATTCAAAAACAATATCACATGCGGTGTTTTGTACATATAGTAGTGCTCTCCTCGTTACAAATTCAAGAGTCATAGGACAACTTAGGCAGACAAAACAAAATGGAGAGGTCAATCTTATTCATGGTATTCCTCCTAAGCTTAGCAGCTACTGCCTTTGCTCAAAATTGTGGCCGGCAAGCTGGGGGCCGAACCTGTGCTAACAATATTTGTTGTAGCCAATGGGGTTTTTGTGGGACAAGTAACGATCATTAATGTACGTAATCCTTCCAAAAATTGTCAAAGCATGCAATTATAGGCCTAGTGGTAATGGAGGTGGTGAAAGTGCTTCAAATGTTAGAGCTACGTATCATTTTTACAATCCTGATCAAATGGATGGGACTTGAATGCTGTAATTAAGTGCTTATTGTTCTACATGGAATGCCAATAAGCCATTGGCATGGCGTAGAAAATATGTTTGGTCTGCCTTTTGTGGACCGGTTGGTGCCCAAGGGTAAGAATTAATTAGACATGAAATTGATATATATATATATATATATATATCGACGTTCTCTGCTTTACCCTTACTTTTTTTTTTTTTTTCACCAGCTATCCGTAATTAACAATCTGAAAACTCGTCACTGTTGTTGCAATTTTAAAAGTTGAAAAAAGTTGTCTTAAAAGGCAGGAAATTTGAATTGCGGTGACTAAAGCATGGCCCTCGATGTAGTTAATATTCTATGGGGGAAAATATGAGAAAACCTTACCTGAATCATTCCAATCCCCAATATATATATATATATATATATATATATATATATATATATATTGAGGTTTGAATAATAATAAAATTATTGATGATTATAAACCCTAACATTCCTTTTAAATTAACATTTAAGGAAATGTAATTATGGATTTTTCCTTCTCAAATTTGTGAATGATCTCACAAACAAATGCATGGCATGCATGCTATGTTAGCGTAAGACTTAGACAATGGGGTAACTTTCTGCCAGATCGGACAGTAGCATTAACGTTTGGTTTGATTAATGTGCTCTATTTTGTAGGCATAAATATTGGATTGGAAAAAGCAAATTATCAATCAAAGATATCGATGTTTATTTTCTGGGATTGGAGAATACAAATTCTTCAAGAAAAAAGTTGAGTGTGAGTTTAAGGTTGAGGTCCAGTTTGTAGATGATCCAATTTGGGGGGCCAAAATATTTTAACGAAAGCCCTAAAACTAGAATGTAAATCAATTTAGCCCAAGGTAGCTACAATTAATGGGCCATATTGCAAATCTGAACCAAGCACCCACCTCAGCCAATGCTGTTTGAAGATGATTTCACTTTCATATCCAGCCAAAATTAAATCCAACCATTTATAGAGATAAGAACAGGATAGAACTTGTCCTTGTCATGTGTAAGATTTTAATATATTCAGGGGGGAGAAGCTAAAGTTTTTTCAAGGGGGCCAGATGAATTCTTCATTTCTTGGATGGGGTTGGAGACGAGGCTTTGACTCGTTGAGAGAAGGGAGGGTATTTTATGAACAAATATAAGTGCGAGGGCCCTTCCCGTCCCCAAACCATCCAACTAGTTTCATGAAATAAAAACCAAAAAACCAATCCGAAATCCTTATTTACAGTGTATAATGTTCAAGTAATAGGAGAGATGGGATGAGAATTTAAACTTTAAATTAAATAAAAACCAATCTTGTTGTATAAGTCTAACACCCACTAACCTTTCATTGAAATTATATTTTTTTTTCACACGGCACTTGAAATAAAAAGTTATGAGTCTTTTTTTTTTTTATTATTATTATTTGAAAAGATTGATTTGAGTGAAATAGGTTTTTATTGTTTAAAAAAATTATCTACGGTACGAATCTTTGTATACGTAAAAAAAAGTTTTTTGGATTTATATTTATTTTATATGTTCGATAGAATAACAAAAAATTAATATAAATATTTAAATTTAAAAAATATTCGAAAATAAAAAAAGAAAGAAGAAGAAAATACGTTTACGTAGAATTGGCTTTTGTTGAGCATAAGTAAACTAAATGCAAGCAACGAAGTGAATTAGTCTTTTAATAGGGTATTGGTTGCAGTAATATTTCATAAAATGAAAAAAATTGATAGAGATAAAATAAATGACCAAAAAATTGAATTGAATAACTAGTACTGTCATTGTGTTTATTCGTTAAAAAAGTTTCTTTACATATAGCATTACTCTACTCGTTTTTCTTGTATTCATTACCTATTTTGCCCATCTCATGCAATCAAAACAATATTATTTTAAAACAAAAAATTTAATTTTTTTCAATAACAATTCATTATTTTGCATAACCGATAGATTTTTTTTCTTGACTATGAGTTATAATTAAAAAAATATTTATTGTCTGTCTAATTTATTTATTCCAAATATAAAAAGATGCATCCCTCTCATCCGACGTTTTTCGTATAATAAAGTTAATTATTTTTTATTAGTTTTTACATACCAAATTTAATTATTTTTTTTGATAAAATCCTAAATAAATGATATAAATAATAACACAACAATCTAAGATTTAAATGCCTAGTTTTAAAAATCAAAAGATAGAACTCCATGGGTTCCTTCAAATTGGTGTGGTGATGAGTCATACCCAAATTTATAAAAAACAAACCGAAAAAATCACAATAGTAATGTAAAATAGGAAAACTCCCTCACTGTTATATCAAAAAAAGAAACTTACAATCTTAGTTAGTTTGGTTCTCTTATTTATTATTATAGGAATTAAAAAGGGATACACAATACCAATGCTGTCCTGATCACTAAAAAAAAAATAAACCGAACTCAGCGAACGTTAAACACGAACGAAGCGTGTTCCGGATTCACCCTCGCACGGACAAACAAACACATGACACAAAACTGAGGAAAAAGAGAGACACTCTTCGCTTCGGCCTCGACTTTCATGTGATTTCGTCGAAGGGAAAAAAAAAAAAAAAAAAAACTCAAAACTCCATAGCTCTTTTTGTGTCCTAAAATTCCAACAAACTATAACCCCACACGTCGCTGCTGCTGCTACTTCTTCTTCACTTTTCTCTCTTTGAATTAGATCTTTCTTAATTATTATGTTTTTCTAGCTCTGCTCTGAATGTAGTGTAGATATGGCGGGACAGATTGTCAAAGTGAAGAGACAAGTATTAGAGGCATGCATGACATGTCCTCTTTGTAATAAGCTCTTAAAAGAAGCTACCACAATTTCTTTATGTCTCCATACGTGTAAGTTTTTCGTTTTTCCTCTTTCTTGTGTAAGTTTTGTGTTCAAATTTTGATCTGGGCTTGTTGGGACTGCTGTGGAATTGGATGGTGTGATTTGGGTTGTTTTTGGTTTGTTGTTTCTTGATCTGGGTTTTTCTTGTTTTTCAATTGCTTCTTTGTTTTGCTTATCATGTCTTGTTCGCAATTTGGTAATTCAATGTCGTTGAATTCTAGTTGGGGTTTTTCTTAATTTGTATTAATGGGTGTCGAGTGCAATTCTAATTGTGTTCTTTGGTGTATTGTTGTAGTTTTTCTATTTCTCTGTTACTCGTGTATTTTAGCTTTTTTCTGGTTTTGGTTCATGCATGAGTGGTTTTGAGTTTTTATGACCTTTGTCACGTAGTATTGAATAGTGTTTTCTTGATGATTTCTGTTTCAACTTTGTACATTACATGTATAATATTATAATTAAACATAGTCAATCGAGGAATAACGATATGCACACTTGATATGGTTATCTTGCATAGGGTAGAATCTCCAAATACTCTGCCAGTCTGGTCCTTTAGGCTTGAGGTGGTACAGTTGTGTAATGCATGCTTTACACCACATAGAAGAAATGGTTTCCTTCTTCTTGATCTCTGTTACTGATAAGAAAATTAAACGATAACTTGCATTGTTGAACTAATTTGAATTTTTATTGTGCCTTTGTGGCCAATGTTTAATAATAACTCCATATTGCCACTCACTATCTTCTGTCAACGACTCATGTAAACATACCTCCAACTTCATGACTATTCTATATTCTATAAAGATCTCAAAAGCTGTCAAAGTCCTTTGCTGGGCATGTAATTAAGATTATGCATGCTAATTACAATGGAGAGGCGATAATTCCATGGAACTTTGCTTAATTTAATCATTTGGGACGCATTTTATCTTGAACTATTATTGTTATTTACTTTTATTACTGTCGCATCCTTCTTATACTTTTTCTTGTTGATTATTTTATCTAAGGTGTTAGATCAAATCTTCTGGTCTTGAATAAGCTATACCCTCTAGTTTCTTTTCTGTCTAGAAATATCTGCTTGTTCAATGATCTGCTTCTGATGAGTTGGTTTTGAATTCAAAACCAGTCTGCAGGAAGTGCATCTATGAAAAGTTCTCAGATGAAGAGGTAGATTGTTGTCCTGTATGCAACATTGATCTGGGTTGTCTGCCAGTGGAGAAACTGAGGTTAGCCTTTTTGTGAATTGTAGTCAAGCTATAAACCCATACACATGCATGCACACATGCTTGCATACATACAGACACTTATTCTTTTTAAAATACCACAAATCACTAGACTTCTATTCTAATGAATTGCTTGTCAACTGAGTTTGATATGGTGGGTATTGTTTTTGGCAACATAGACTAGCTCTCTGCAAATCAGTTCACGTGATTTTATGTTCACTAACTGTAATACTGATTACCTTAACCAACTGTAAGTTGATTTTTTTGGTTGCTCTTTCTTAAAAGTGAAGCAAAACTTCTTAATTCAAGAACTCCTGGTTTTGCAGAATTTGAGATGATATTTTAGTTAAATAACTGCTCATGCCCAAGACATGCATTTGGACAAACTTCCAGGAAAACATTTAGCTTGGAGCACATGTTATGAAGTTATCTCGTTTTTATAGAAAAATGATGTTTCGCATTGGGATTTTCATGTTTTTATGCAGGCCAGACCATAATTTGCAAGATATAAGAGCCAAAATATTTCCTTTTAAGAGAAGAAAAGTTAATGCCCCTGAAATTATGCCTTCGATTGCATTGCCAGCAAAAAGAAAGGAGAGGTCATTATCATCATTGGTGGTCAGCACTCCCAAAGTGCCAATTCAAAATGGCTTGACTGGAAGGAGGTCTAAAGCTGGTGCCAGAAAAGCATTACGGGGATGCAATTTTACTGTTGAGGAATTCAAGAAAGAAGATTCTGCTGAAGATAATACGATGAGCCCAAGCTCACCAGGGTCTCCTATCAAAAGCATTCAAAAGAGAAGGCTGGTAAAGGAGACAATAGTTTCATTCTTTGTGCTTGGATGATTTGAAATTCCACCTTGATTTTGTGCAAGCTAGTTCTCGCAGCCAAAACATTTTTACTATATTAATGACTTCTTTCCTTGTTAAATTTATGCAGGATTCCTCTGTGGCTGAACCTTCTACTGAGCAAAGACCCAATGATGATGACGAGGAAGAGGCCGATGATGTTGAAATAATGGAAGGGAAGGCTGATCTATGGACGCCCTTGAATTGTCTTGTTGAAGCTGCTAACAGAACCAAGTTGTCCAAGTCACATTCACAAGGGCTGTCTCTAGCTAAGTCAGGCATGCTTGATGACCATGATTGTGAACCTCATCTGTATGAAACAAAATCCAGAGCAGAATCACCCAGTGATCATCACAGTGAAGTATATATGGCTAAAACCAAAAATAAGGAGCATGGACAGGGAATAAGAGTCCAAGATGACAAGAATGGGACAAATTCGCTTCCCGTTTCAGTGAAGCGGAGAAGGTTAACAGCAGCACGAAAAAGGGCAGCTATATCTGAGGGGTTGAGTGCCTCAGCTCAAGCAATAGTAGATGCTGCAGGAGCTAAGAGCAATAAAAGAAATTGTCCAATATGGTTCTCATTGGTTGCCTCTGAAGACCAGTAAGATGCTTCTCAGGCTGTCTCTAATTTATATTGTTTATTTTCTTTGTGAAGCTTTGATTGGTGACTGCTTCAATGTTTGTTGCTATTGTTGTGGCAAATGTCTCCAGGAAAGAAGAGGCTTCCTTGCCACAGATATCTGCATGCTACTTGAGGATTAAGTGAGTTTCTTTAGTCTTATTACCCTCAAAATCATGTCTCTTTTTGCTTTATTCTGCTGAATATGTATATATTTTCTCTGCATTTGTGTATTTGAAAACTACTTACGTTTTTTAAAGGGTAAATTTGAAGTTGGGCCACCATGCTTTATCATCATTTCTTTTGACAGATTAATAAAGTGGGTCTTTGTTTTTAGTATGGAGATGTCAAACAGAAACAACATTAAGGTTTTTACATAAGATATGATTCTATGGTCCAAGCATTTGTTTCCCCAGAATGTGGTTGAACTTTTTGCATATTAGGTCCATCTGCTATAATTGAGAAATATTAGGCTTTTCATAAGTTGGTTATTTCAGCAAGTGTACGGATTTTATTGTTTTGTACTCTAGAATCTGTTTAGTCTTACTTTGCTTTGAGTATCTGAAAATCAAATTGTTGGTCATAATTGATTGGCTTAGTTTTGGTTTGTTCACTTCATGGTTATACTTCTGAGTTTGCTCAAATCTTGGTCATTTATGATGAAGCCAGCAATTGACTTGGAACTTATCCTCAATTATCTCATGTTTTATTGTTCTTAATTTTTCTCATCTCAGGGATGGTAAAATGCCTGTCTCTTTCATCCAGAAGTATCTTGTAAAGAAACTTGATCTTGATAGTGCGACTGAGGTGAGCTCATTTCTCTTCCCTTCCTTAAAAAGCTGATTGGATTTCCTTGTTGATTTGTCTTAAGGAATCGTTGTCCCTTACTTTTATCAGCTCTATTATTATTTGCTGGCCCTTTATTATTGCTCTGAAAGCAGAGTTTGAGCTTGTAATTACCGTAGGGTGTTATTTGAAATTAATTTTTTATAGAAATGTCTTGAGGGCATATTTCCTCATTCCTTTTATGCCTGAGGATGCCAACTCATTTAATCCTAGGATGTCTGATTTGGATGGTTCCTAAAAGTTCAAGAATTAAAATGACTCTGTGTCTTTTGTCAAGTGTCAATAAGGCGAATATTGCCATCCAAGATCTGGTAGGAAAAGTTAAACCGTAAGGCAAATATTCCTTTTGCCATGTAGCATCATCTTTTTCGTTGAGCAGTGATGTTTTTGGTCAGATGCAAAACTAGTTTTTAGATAATTTCAGGCTAACAAGAGAAAGTGTTATACAGAGCATTCTATATCAACTTAGTCAATGCTGTCATATTTGGTATTTTCTTGTATCTCTGTACTTCTATTTTCTTGTGACAGTACGAAAGCATTTCCTCTGCTTGTTGAATAAAAAGCAAACATGTTCTTGCAGAAAAAAAAAATCTGGATTATATACATGAGGCTTTGCTAGGAAGCGTGGATAAGTGGTCCCCACTTTTTTCGCGATAGTTCATTGCTTCCTAAAATTGTTCTTGCATTTTGATAAAATTAGCTGGGGGATATTTAATGAAGTCATGATTTTTAGAAATGACATCAGAATTTGCCTTTTGTGTGCTTATAATGGAATGAACAATGGCTTCTTTTATTTGTTTTGTTTTGTAGGTGGAAATAATGTGTCGGGGTCAGCCCATCCGGCCAACTTTGCAATTACAGAGCTTGGTAGACTTGTGGTTTCGGACTGGTTCAACATCAAAAAAGGTGCCAGCATCAGTGGGTTCCTCAGCTAAGGACTTCGTCATGGTATTGTCATATTGTCGAAAAGTCCAAGAGTCTTAAAATATACCGTTAACCTTCCTGTCTTATTGATTATTTACGTCTTCAATTATGAAATATATCTAGTTGGATTCTCAACATCTGTAACTTTACTGTGATCTTCAAATCCATCACATGCTTACTGCTTTGTTTAATGCATGTGATTACATTAAATTTCATTTATTCTATTAGAGAGCTGCAACACTTACGGTCTGTATTCTCTCTCAATACTTCTTCTAGTGATCCTGAATCTAAGTTTCTAATTATCTTCACCCATATTGCTCTTTGAATGCACCAACGTACTAATTTGCGGTTGACGCCTGAGGGTTGAAAATTGAAAGAAGAACGCAAGTTTGTGAGAGTGGCAAGTTGTTGAACCTGTTAGGAAACTTTAAAACGCTTCCTCTTACACTGAATGGATTGTCATTTATTCATGTATAGCTGACTTTTGTCTTTCACCCTGCAAATTAAGCAGGCAGATGCTCCTCTTTCCAAACAGGTCAATGGCAAATTTACTCCTTACGACTGTCTGCTAAATACAGGCTTGCTTATGGTGGCACTATATCTTGAACAGACATGAGATGACAATTTCTTATTTTTATCTCTTCATATTAAACCTAGCCAAAGCTCTCTACAAAATAACGTTTGCATGAAAGGAAGAACCTCAGTAACCAGAAAAAAATTAACGACTTTTTTTTCTCACGAATATAGAAATGAAATAAATGATATAAAAGTTGTGTAACATTACAACACAACGAGAAAAGGACACCATATAGAAGACTCGTGACGGTTCTCAGAGAGGGAAAGGACATGCACAACTCGGCTAAATTAATATCACGGTGCGTAATAATTTAGTGTTCACCATTCTCAAAAAACAATTTATAATACATAATAAATAATAAATAACTAATGGTATATAAAATAGCTATTTCATGGATTTATTTTGAATAGAAATAGACATATTGAATTATATTCAGATCTATCAAAAGTGATAAGAAGATTTTCACATTTGTTTAATTTTTTTTTTAAATTTTCTCTTTTCTTTTTATTTTTTATTTATCTTTCTTCTCAAAGTGGATCTATGAAATAACTATTGTATATTACTTATTGTATATTATAAAATTTCCCCACTCTTTAACCCCCTCTTTTTTTTTTTAATGAAAAATCCTAAATTCACTCCCCGTTGAGAATTTATACATGTGTATAAGAATATATATTAAAAAATCTCTAATAACTTTAGGGTGGATGAATGAATTTGTTCATGGTCGTCTTATATTTTAAATTTTAAAAGTAAGAGAAGTAATTTATAAGAAGGAAAAAATTGCAATGCATTAATGGAAGAGTGGAGAGTCTATCTAAATCTCTATTGGGAAAAAAAAAAAAGAAGTTTCGGTACACAAAAAACAAGTCAAAGAATTAAAGGAAAAATCAATAAAATTTAAAAAATCCACACAAAACTGCTAAGTCTCAATGAATTATGAGTAAACTACTATTTAATTCCTTATTTTAGGAAAATGATTAATTAATCCAACCCTAATATTAAATTGTTACATTTTTATAGTATTTGTTTGCAACTTAATCTTTTCATTAATTTTTCCTAAAATATCTTTTATTTTTAGTCACATTTTTCAATTTCACCTCCTACAAACAAAATTTAAATGCATTTTATAAAGGGTTAAATCAATCTCGTACTTTTGTATTATTTATTTTAACATATCTATCTAAATATAATACAAAAATAAATTATATATTATTGAACTTTATAACAAATTAGTATTTTCATTCAAAATCTTACCAATACGTGAATTTCAGTCATTTCACAAGGTTAGTTCGGTTGCGTGAAAAAGAATTTACAGTCACCTCTGTTGAAGAAACTGACTCATTATTTTCAAAACTAGAAGTACTAACTTACAAATTTTGTGAAAAACAAGGACTGATTATAATTTACTCAAGAACAATTATAAACCATCTTTAATGCTTCAAACTCACTGTGCTGTTTGCAATTGTCGAGGGATTGGAGATAACAAGTGAGTTCATCAAACCTTGGTCCGTTTACTTGGAAGTTGGAACCTTTCTCAAAATCAAAACATGCAACAGGTAATCAATCGAAAACCATCCTTCAAAACCCTAAACAGCTCCATTATTATTATTATTATTATTATTATTTTCTATCTGCAGCTACTTTTATCGTCTTCTTTTTTTAATATTCTTTGGTTTAATAAATAAGTAAATAACAATGCATTGAATGGTGAAAGGGTGGTGGATCTGATAAGGAGGTGACTTGGGAGGATCAACAGAACATCAACAAATTCGGCAGATTAAACAACAGATTGCACGAGCTTGAAGACGAAATTAAAATTGCCAAGGTACTATCTTTTTATATACTTATATACCTTTAATTTGACTCTGGTTAATTTTTTCCGTTTTTGTGGAGACGGGGTTTCAGAATTTGTAAAAAGAGGCAGCTTTGATTGGGTGTTTTAATTGATGGGATTGTATTATCATTGTTTTTGGGTCAGTTGTCTATGTATTGAATAAGAAATTAATAATTACTGACTATGATTAGTAGATAAAAAGAAAAAAAAAGATTTCTGCTATTGGTTATTCAGAGTGGCAGCAATTGGAGTTTGCCTTTAAAAGGCCAAATATGATTGATTTGAATATGAATTGGAAGTCCATTTTTCTGTTTCAATGTTTTTATGATCAAGGGTATTGTTGGTTCACTACAGTAGGAGGGCTTATGCAAATGTCAGGGCAAAAAGGTCCTGTGAGCTAATTGAGCTTATGTTGAATGTTAAAGGTGTTGAGGTTGCCTCATTTATCTCGTAATGGATGAACTTGAATGTGTCAATTTGAGTTAAGATTGCAAATCTTGGTAAATTCAACATTGATGGATATACTAAGGGAGTGGGTTTTTTTTTTCCCCTGTGCTTTTAATGGGAATTGAAGTTAAGACTAAGCCTGTGAAAGATCTGAGGAATTGCATCGTCTTGTTGATCTGGAGCCAAGCTTGAGTGGATTAGTCTGCTATAAGGTCCAAAGATTGTGGTCACGGGCAAATTTTTGGGCATGTCAATGGACCATGTTCTTAGAAAATTAAGATAGTGCAAGCATACTCTTATTCTCCATGCCAAAACTAAGTTAGTGAAACAGTAAAGTGAAACTCTAATTTTCCTCTCCGCTCCCTAGTTTGTTTTAAAATTAAGAAAGGAAAGGAAGAAGCAATGGAAGAATTTTTTATTATAATTTTCTGACTGCAAAAGTTTTCCATCCAACACGCTTTCGATTTTGTGCAAATTTTTTTAAGGAAAGCTAAACTCAATATCCACGTTTAAGGTGCATTCCCTATGTAAAGATTTTACATTTACTTCTTCCACCTTTGTTAAAGATTTCTCTTCATAAACAAGCCAAGAAAATTGAATAAAATTTCTTTCTTCTCTCTCCAACTTTTTTGCTCTTTGTTTAAACATAACATGCTGTTATCAGATTTAAGACACACTGAACTCCACAAACTCTTCTTCAAATTTTCCAAATTTGGTTGTTCAAATACATCATCACCCAGGTCTAGTCCTATATGCTTTTTTACAAAAAAAGATTACAGTGTTCCCTCCACAGACATTTTTATCCTGTACCTGTCTTCTTGACTTAATTATACATGTAGCTGTTGAATTTTGTTGTACATAAACAAAGCGCAAGGATTGCCATCATTTTGTTTGGAATAGTTTGTCAAGTTGCAGTAATAGTGCGACATCACTGCATAATAGGGAGTAAGACCCATCTTTTGCAAATTGCGGCAAGTTATCCATATTGGCCTTGTGTGTTCCAGTTAGCCTATATAGTAAATTCACTTGACATTGTCTCCAAAGATCTGGATTATAGGCAGGAAAGAACACATCTTGTTGTGTAACCTGACTCTGGGACCTAATGTCCCCTACATTGCTCATGTTCTAAAAATGCATATAGGGATGCGTAATTTTGTTTTTAATTCTGGTCTCTACCATGCTGAGTTTTTTTTTTTTTTTACTAATCCAATAGCTCCTTTTCTTCAGGAAACCAATGATAATCTGGAGGATGCAGGCAATGAGTTGATTCTTACTGATGAGGAGGTGGTTCGGTTCCAAATTGGAGAAGTCTTTGCTCATGTTCCAAGGGATGAGGTTGAGACCAGGATAGAGCAGATGAAAGAGGTGACTAGTAAGAACTTAGAAAAACTCGATGAAGAGAAAGATTCCGTGGTTGCACAGATGGCTGAGTTAAAGAAGATTTTGTATGGAAAGTTTGGGGACTCCATCAACTTAGAGGAGGATTAATGAGGTAGGTTTTTGTTTTATTCCCCAGAAGCTGTCTTGCTGATTTGCCATGTTATTCATGGAAGAAGTCTCTTGTTTATCGTTGAAATATCAGGGAATCGACTTCTTCAAATGATATATTAGATAGTTAGACTGTTGTGTGGGCTTCTTGATATAGATGGTGTATGTTTCTCACTCTCAGGTGTACCTGTTATTAAGTAATCTGTTCGCTTCAAATTTTGATATTTTGTGTCTCGTCTCTAATATGCTTTATGAAAGTTGGTTTGTGTTCTGCTTGCTGTTGAGTTGCTTAGTAGTTTGTTTTTTAATGAATAAAAGTAGTAAACGTCCCCACAAATTTAAATTTTAAGTATCTCTGCCACAAACTATTGACAACTGACTTGCTAGGCAATCAGTAGGAGACCATTGTAAAATTTTCCTTTATATTGCATGATGTATTTCAATGCTCAGATTACATATATGATTGAAAAAATTAGAAGTGTTAAGTAAGCAAATCAGGCTTTTTGATCATAAGAACACGACGTTTTCTTCCAATCCAAGTCACCCATTGGGGATCACTTGACACAACTCTGTAACCTGCATTTGTGTATAGTTTACGAGCACCCACATCATCTTCATATGCTCTTAGGGCAAGATATTCAAAACCCCATTGATGGGAGAGCACGTCACAGGCTTTTAGCAAGGCACTTCCTATTTTCTGCCGCCTGTTATTACAAGAAATGTTAGTAACTCAGCCATAACATGAAAAAGAATTTATTAGATGATAAGATCTCTGATGGGATTGAATGTTAGAACCTGAAAATTTTGGAAACAGCTATCCCTGAAATATAAAGGTATTCATCTGCTCCCTCGAGGTGCTGTAGGACATCTTTATCTCTCACTGCTGTGACATCTACAATGCCCACCAGTTTCCTTTCAGACTTGGAAGGGTCAGCTGCAGGCTCAGCCACCAAACACGCATATCTGTTAATGTTAAGATAATCATCATGTTTTCTGGCGACCAATCAGCCAAAGCACCAATTTGACCTATCAAAACAAATTAAAGGAAGGTTTTAATTCTTTAACCACTTGGAAGACTTTAGTGGTCTAACATGCTAAAGAGGGATTTCAAATTCACAAGGTTTTAAATCCTTACTTTATAGTCATGTTTTTACCATTGCAGATTTATACGTGTTCTTTATAATGATCAATTTAATGATTGTACCTGTCTGGAGGTGAGTTTTTAAGTTTGTAAAGAAGCCCAGAAAGCACTTCAGCCTGTGATACATATAAGATACACAACAGTTACTAAAATGATAACAATACTATCTTTCTCTTCTTCTCGTACTTCAAATGATGATTAAAAGGGCAAGGAAAAACCTTGAAGAACTCGAAGAAAAGGTCGTCAAAGAGAGCCATCGGTATGTGGAATGCTTCAGCTTGAATTTGGGCTACTTCCCTCATCTCATCTCGATTCTCGGCTAACCTCCTTACTTTCCATCCAAACTCACTCACCAAATACTCCAACTGCTCCTCTTTTTCTTCCCAACTTCTTCTATCTTCAAGAAACACTCGCTTAGTAGCCGATGAAGATGATGAAGGTGAAGTTGAAGATGTCCTGCAGCAATGCATAACACAACTCCTATTCCAGCCCACAGGTCTTTTGATCTGTTGGCTGACTTCCTTTCTATTTCTAGCAGTTTTCCAAGTTCCATGGTAAAACCTGTCAGCTTTACCGGCATACCAAGGCTCAATACAGAGCCAGTTTGAAACTTGGAAACAGCAGGGTCGTAAATTAGCCATTTTTGTTCATTTGTGTACAGAACGAGAAAATGTGATCGAAGAAAGAAAGAAAAAGCCAGGAATATAGGAATAGAGTCACGATTGGCTATAAGTGCCTGTTTGCTAGGGACCATACAAGTATATGACATGTGGAAGCATGAAAGCCTACCACGTGGAGTTTTAAGATATGTCAGCAGTAAATGGTCTTTCTATGCAGCGAGAGCCCATCGTCCATATACAGACAACCTACTACGATAGCAAACAAGCACTCACACCTCAGACTAGTACAAATTACCTCAGACTTTATGTGCAAATACTATAGCAATTGGCTTGATAACTTTCCTGTCCTAGCTTTTGGGCCCATACCCGGCCCCTCCCAGAAAACAGGCATTTATGTGCTCAAAACAGCTGGAGAATTATCATGCACTAACACCTCAACATTATCACTTCTGAAAAGTATACGATATGATAGTAGTTTAATGCGCAATTAGAAAAGTACATAAAATACCTTTTATACATATATATAAACATCACAAACAAGATCTAAGAAAAGCACCAATCAAACTCGTAAGTGAAATAAATAAATAAATAAAGCAGCAAACATTATGCGGTAGTAGCTACAACAAATCGAAGAAACAAGATCACTTTTCTTTGACCAAAAAGGAATGCGACTGCCATATTTCATGTTATAGAAGCTAAACATGATGAAATTGTTAGGTAGGAACCATATAAACCTCAACTTAACATCAGAGGATATAAAAATGACTATACCTCCAACTAGCCTGAAAACATTTAGTCAGACGAAGGTCCTTTCAAAGAATAAGATTATAGAGAGAAATGTTCTTTTCTACAAGCAACTTTTCTTTTTCTTTTTTCATATTGAAGTTCTTGACGCCAATCATCAATTTTTTTTTTTTCCTTCCTGTATATATTACAGGAACCCAAGGTATCCTTCCAAATTAGTTTCATCACAAAGCAACTGGCGAAAATCTGATCCCTGGATTTAGCTATTTAAGTGGCAGAAAATGCACTAAGGATCCACATATTTACCCCTCTTAAATTGGCTATCCTTAGCAGATAACCTCAAAAGGATAGTATAAAACTTCCTTGGAATCACATGCTTCTTCAAGTTACAAAAGGTTGGAGATGGGATAGGACAAGGATGAAGCTAACTGGGCTTTTTGAGACTTTAAGTGGCCCGTCCCAGCAAATGTGCAATAATTATGATTTACGAGGTAGAAAAGGCTAGAGAATTATCATGCGCTCACATTTCAATTCTCAACCTGACCATTTCAGAAAAAGGTCAACTCAAAGCCAACCTGTACCAACAACATTGAATTATTATAGCAGACAAAACAACAGACATGCCAACTACTTTGGGCGCGAAATGAATTTGCAATCTTCTTTAAATTTGAACCTTTTACAGGGAAAACTTGATCCGGGACCACTCTCTACTCGTTTGGATGGTAGCATCCATGAAGTTGGTAGCAAGTGGTATGAATTGCACCTAGTCTGAGAGTGGAGAGCTTCAACCTTCAAGTACTCAAGTTAGAACCAAAGGGAAGTAAATTGGCTTTCCCTCTTTTAAGCTTACTAAAAGCATTAAAAGCAAGTATTATGAGTGCTGCATCACAAAATGTGGAAATGCTACTACTAATGTTGTTGCTACCTTAACAAGCCTCCATTAACCATAAAAATCCTATCATAAATTGCAGAAGTTTCAATTACCATAATTCAGAAAGTTGTTCATATGTAATAAATTCTAAAAGAGGATACGAGGACTAACGATATCAAGAAGGAAAAGATAAAAGACCTGGTCATGCTACTTAAACAGATTGCCATCATCCATGCAGTAAATTTGAAGTCTTGCAGATATAAAATCAAGAAACTAACACAACAGGCCACAATCAGATGTATAAATATATGCTAATTACTCTTCAATATAATACCAACAGGAGACAAGAAATTTTAAGCTGGTTAATCATCTTGATGATTCACGTTGTGCTAAAGAAAGAAACATAACTTTGCATTAACAGCCAATAGTAACAGACAAATTAGTAATCACACTTGAAAGACTACAACAAAGTTAATTCCCAAGTAAAAATTCCACAACAAAGACATAGAAATCACCTCCTTGTAAAAGCTGCTAACGGACACATTTCCATTTCGATCTTAAGAACCAACATTCTCATTACCTTGCGGCAAAGAATCACAAATATAGAAGTTACAACAAACCAAAATCCCAAACTACAAAAGCCAAGGCACCATTCCCCAATTCCACCATTAGCAACATGTTGAACATAGAACCTCGATTCAAACTCCTAAAACCAATGAGAATCCACAGATACAGGTTTCAAATCAACCAAAAATCAGCAAACCAACACTCAAATCCGAGTATAACCCGTTGTGGGTCGCAAAGGCTGACTCCCAACAACAGAAATCAACCCACCTTCAACAGCACTTTCCTCATCAAGAAACAAATCCTCCGTGCCCCTAAACGCGCCATGAACTCCGACAATCACCACCCCAATAATCAAAGAAATCAAAACATTCAAACCCACATCAGTAAGCGCCAATGCCAATATAGTAACAAATCCAAGAACACACAAAACAACTCTATCATCAAAACTCCTATTAAACAACACGACCGGACCATCACGCTCGAAATAAAGAAACAACCACGCGACAAATATCCCAATAAACACAATCATAGAAATTGGATGCCACAAAAGACTTAAAAACAAGATTGCAAGAAATATCATTGCATAATTCACGCGAAAGTAATTGAGGTTGTATTTGATGCGAGAAATGGCTTCATTATAAGTGTAAGGGCGAACGAAAGATGAGAACTTCAAAAGTTCTAGCCATGGACGGCGCTTGGCTATGATGGTTTGAGTTGTGGTGTTGGCACGTGAGATGAAGGTGAGGATTGTTGGTGATTGTGGGGGTTGTGTGGTGGTTGTCGTGGTTGTGCTGATGGTGGTGGGGATGGTGCCATAACCTGATTGTGGTTTTATTGGCATTTTGGTGAAGGGGTTTCTGTTTGGATCTTGAGGGTTGGAAAAAAGTTTTTGAGATTTTATGAGAAATTAAAGATGGGTTTTGCCTTAGAGAGAGAAAGGGGAGACCTTTACGAGAAACTAACTTTTAGGAGAGAGGCTAGGGTCTGAAATTTTTGGACAGCAGAGAGGGAAAATCGTGTTTCCTTTCTTTCAGGGAAAAGGAAATACAATGTTCAAACAGAAGATTTTATTTAGTTATAGTTGAGTTGTGTCCCAATAATTAGTTTCGTGTAGGGCCCAGTATTTGAGCTTAATTTTCTATTTGGTCCTTATTATTTGAACTACGGTTCCATATAGGATCTTTAGGCATAGAACGGTAGCAAAAAACCATCAGGGTGGCGCTTTCCTCGTCTTTTTCTTAAGCTACATAATGAATTACGTAATTAGCGCAATAAAGAGAATAAAAACTTCTTTTTTCTTTTTCTTTTAAGAAAATCAAGGAGAATAAGGAAATTGTATTCAAAGCAAAGGGTAAAAGGAAATTCTGATATTGTTGAATTTCAGCTAAAGAATCACATGGATTCGTAACAAAACTGGAAAAGAACAGGACATACTAAATTTATGTCAAGTATTATTTTGTATGGAGATGCCATTTCTACTCTTTCTCTTCATCCTCCTTTCTCCCCCTCGGGGATTTAGTACAACTAATTTGATTTGCGGCTTCTTCCAGGATATGAAGGCAAAAGAAAAACCAGCAGAGCTTTTCATCGACAGCTTTTTCAGTCCCCCTTCCCAGTACTGATGTATTTGCTATAGCCACAATTATGATTTTTTCTGATCTGTACCATGAAACTTTCTCCCAGCATCGACTGCTTCCCTGAAAGAAGAGGCAAGTTGCATGGTTACGAATAAATTTATCCTAAAGCTGGCATGGAAAAAGAATTAGCAATGCCTTCTGAATGTGCACACTAGGCTAACTATGTCTCATGAAATCCAGCCTATTGAAAGGAAAAAGGTCAACGCAAGCAATCTGGTGTGCTCGTGCAATGAAAGAAGAATTCATTCATTTGCTTCTATGAGTTCTGATAGTTATGCAGAAATGCTATGCAACACAAATCAAGATTATGTCTAGTGCAGAACGTAGATATTACTGCAAAATAACCAGATCAACTACAAACAAAAAATAAAAAATCTCCAAGTAGTAAAAGATCTGTAGAGATACCATTTGATTCACAACCAGAAAAGTTTGTATTCTATGTTCATTATACAAATTCGTCCCTCCACCCCCTCACCAATCACACAAAGGAGTTATTTTCCAATTGCAATTTTGGCCTCGTAACTTTTCATTTTTCTTCCTTTCCTAATGCAGTTTTTGCCAAGTAATTTGCATATCTGTAAGTTCCAGAATTAATGTGCTCTATTAAGGATTCAGAACCCATAAGCTGATACACTAGCATAGTTTGACTTGAATGGAAAGAGAACAAAAGGTTAAAGGGTCAGAGAAGCAACAATTTGTAATGTAGCTTTTGATCACATACCTAAAGGAATTCACAAGCTCCTTATTTTCAGGGTCAAGCTTCACACCCTCATAAAAGGAATTTGCTGCTTCATCAAACCTCTGCAAGTATAAGGCAATCAAGAAATGCTAGACAATGTAAATCACTTTAACACCCATGGAACAACAGAAAAAAGAAGGCATGCCTGCAACAAGCGCAGAGCTGCGCCTTCCCGATACCAAGCTTTTGGCCAATCTGGTTTTAGCTCTCTGCAGGCCTTTCCATCAGCTAATGCTTGGTCAGGCTGCCCCAAGCGCATCCAACACAGGCTTCTATTCGAAAGCACAGCAGCATTAGTGGGATCCAGATCAATTGCCTGCAAATGCAACATCAACCTTCTATTCAGTCAAGATCCAGAAATGATGGTTAGTCAACAACTAAGAATTCTTCAATGTTGGGTATACAGCTTTATTCATAAAGTATCAGAAAGCAAGAACAAGCATCTAGAAAGGAATATTTGCTTGTGTATTTCTAGATTGTGGCACTTCCATCTAAGGCTTAACTCCTCTATAAAAGAATTTGTCCCATTAAATTTCCCATCCTAACATATACTCCATCCCTACAAACAATTCCAACGACTCTCCATATTACAGGGAAACACAATCTTAGATTTTAACGCCTAATTCTTTAGACAGTCATTGTCAAGGAGACAGAATTGAGGATAAAATCAAGCCATGATTCCAAACCATGTTTCCCATATCATCAAGATCCTCTCCACCATAATCACCATGATACTCTCCACCATGATCATATCACCATACTAATTCCTGTATATATTATGTAGTTATTATAGGTTTTGTCCAAATCCCCTTACTATGTTAGCTCTACACTCCACTTGATATAAACCCAGACAGAAAATATCACTTTAAAATTTGTGGTAGGGTGTCAAAATAACCGATGTATGAAATGAGTTTAGGAAAATTTCAAAATATCTGGTGACAGAACAAAAGTCATTAAAAAGCTAGTTTCCAAATGCCATAGAGCATATTATCTGGAATAAATAAATAAACATTTGTCATGCATAAGGACCAAACACTCTAATAAAAGAACAAGAAAAAGTGACAAACAAAAACTCCAAATCTCTGAAACAGGATACAGAACAAATGGCATACTTGTGTATAATCATTCACAGCTGTAAGATATTCTTTTCTTTTGAAAGCATCATCTCCTCTTGATTTTGCTTCAGCAGCTCTCTCCTTTGCTTCAGGGGACACCTGAACAAGTTGTTGGAACAATTATTATGTGAGAAACACACAAAAATATAATTCCAACCAAATTGCTTGAGTTATGGGATCAATTTGACTTGACATAAAAGGCAAGTCATGAAGCAAGGTACATTTCCAAGTGAAATGCAATAAACCCCTAAAAAAATCATTAACGCTAGTGTAATGCCATTCAGTTCAGGTACAGAAACCAACCAATTTTGGGATAGATTATTCTGTTCATGTTACACCAGTAACATTCTGCATTCGATTTTAGTTGAGATCAGCTCTTGAGATAATGCTTCAAGTTGCCTAGCAACCCAACCCTGTAACTAATTTACAGGCTCAGTGCAATGATCAGGTTGGAATTTGATCCATACAAATTGTATCCATCCACAATTTGTATGTATTCTTCCTTTGTTCATTAATGCTGCATAAATGCAAATAACAGGTTGGAAGGCTGCAAGAACTAAGTTCCCTTTGTTCCAATTGGTTATCAAAATGCTAAAGATTACAGGTTTAAGGAGAACAGAGAGCCAAATCAATCTGAACTGCTTAGGTTCAACTCTGGGTTGGAATTTTGGAGTTCATAAGGTAACCTCAGTTCTAAAAAGTGACAGTTCTGATCCAACCCGCTTGGTTTTACACCCATACATAACAAAAACATAAATCTTAAACAGCATCAGGAGCAAGCTTCAAAATGCTAAAGATTAGAGGATAAGGAGAACAAAGAGCCAAATCAATCTGAAATGCTTCAGGCCAATTCTGGGGAGGATTTTTGGAGTTAATAAGGTCAGCTCAGCTCTGAAAAGAAACAGTTCTTATCCAACCCACTTGGTTTTAGACCCATATATAACAAGTACAGTAATCTTAAATAGCAGTGCTGAGCAAGCTGCAAAAAGATTTGCAACTAGCATGATTTCTTGCATGTGATTGGAATGAAATTACTTCAAAGTAAGAACTCTCATTAAAACAAAGCAGAACAAAGCCATGAGCACAATTGTATAATTTGAACCAACAAACAAAACAAATCCACTTTATCTTATGCATTCACCAACTTCATTAGAAACATATTTTATGATTGACTGCAAAATAGACAGCTAAAACAAAACTGAATTCTAAATAACATAATTGCACCAAATGAGAGGGAGTTACACATAACTGATATTTGAAAGCTATTCAGTGGTACTTTAGCAAGGAAAAAAGGTCCATTGACAAGGACTCAACAAAGCATCATGACATAAAAATCACAAAAAAAAGCAACACATAACCAGAAGAAAATTAAATTATAGAGTAATCAGTACCTCAGGAAGATCTCTTTTAAGTGTTTCTGTGTCTTCTGAAGGATCAACGTCCTTCACTTTCCGTATTTCTTCCTGCAAAGAATTTCCAAAACAAACAAAGGGAAATTAACAACAGGTAACTAACAAGGATAAAATGAAAAATAGCTGTGCGAGTAGAATATCAATATCTGATCAAGTTAGCCTGTTATCCGGTCGTTATTTCTTTCTCTTGAGTGAAAATATCTCCTATAAATAATCTCGTTTTCTTGGCAATAGGTGATGTGATTTCATATGAGAATAAAACATTCACAACCAAGAGCTCATTCATTAATAGCACAAAAGATCCTCATGTGAGTATGTATGGATGTACACAAACTTTGACACCCTCAATGTGACACAGAAAACGTAAATTGGTAATTGTTGAATTGTGATAGCAGATGGAGCACATGTATTTGTGGCTTTAGCAACAAGTAGGAGAGCATATTCAGTCTCATAGAATTCATAACCAAATCTTAAGCATCTTAATACCTCTTTGCTAGCTTCAGACTGCATGTGTGCAAGAATTCCATCAACAGTCCACTCAGGGATGCTTTGAACTTTTGTTGTCAAGGGGAAAAGGATCTCAACAGCTGCACGGTTGCCTCTTGCAGCTGCAACCTGTATTGGTTTCTGACCATCCTGGGATGCAAAGAAAATTCATTATCATTCCAAGTTCAAATTAAGGTGAAGAATAATTCCATGAAAGTGACCACCATTTACAATTTTTTTTTTTTTACCACATGAATTACATTTACCATGAAATTGCAACATTAAGAACTATGGAAATTTCTGAGGAAAGGAAAAAAAAAACTTTAATAAAGGTTTGATAAATAGAATCCTACGGAGTAGGAGAAAATTTATGAAGATGGTCAGGTATTGCTACACTTCTGCCCCAAAGCCAACCAAAAGAAAGTATTGAAAATCAAAGTGAATAAAAATATATTCATCCTGAACCCCAACTTGTAAAAGCATAGAGACAAACAAGAAATAACACTGTAAATAAAGTTACAGTAATCCCTCAAGTAACTGAATGCATTAAAAGCCTCACCTCATCAGTGATATTAGGATCAGCACCAGCTTCTAACAAACGGTTCAAAATTTCTGGGCTTCCAATGTCAGCAGCAATGTGCAGCGGAGTTGCTCCACCAGCAGTAACATTCACATCAGCACCAACCTGCACAGAAGAAAACACAAAAGTCGTGGCATAAATCGATAATGCACATAAGCATAACAAGTAAGATTAAAGATGCTTCTGCACCAAAAGATGTGATCTCCTGAACAATATTCCCAAGCTTTCGTCTAGGGAAAAATCCTTTCACTTTATAAATTGCTATAAAACCAGTGACGCAATCACCAAGTTCAAGAAATTTGATAACCATATACAAAATAGTCAATGGTTTAGAAGATACCTGAACCAACAACTCTAGGCATGCCAATGAACCAGCTGCTACAGATGATAATAATGGAGTTACACCATCTTCTGTTTCACAATTAGGCTGCAAAAGAACATCAAAACATATAAATAACACCATAAAAAAAACAAACTAACCACACATCTAGAAACATAAAAGCATGTCCAGAATCAGAAAATATTCAAATAAATTTGTGGCAGTTCTGGAACATAGAAAATAACCTGTTTGAGAAATCTATACGGGAAAATACCAAAAAAAAAAAAAAAAGTGTGATAATTGTTACCCAAAGACTCAGATACCAATACAGGGCTGACTTTTTTTCACGATTATACATGATCTACATAGATTGTCAAGTGCCACTTTAAGCAGACACGATACATGTTCAATTTGGATTGTCACATCTGCCAAATTTAAAATGGCTTCTCTCACTACACTCAGTCCATGGCTGTAACTCACTGTTTTTTCCCTTCTCTCTTGTTTGCTTTTACACTTTATCACTCATTTAACTGATAGTAAATAACATTAATTGAGCGAGAAAAGGGGGCAAAAATTACATTCGCATGGTGCTTCAGCAACACTTTCAAAGCATCCTGTTGACCATGACCAGCAGCCCATATTAAAGGAGTACCAGCATCACTTTGAGAATCAACCTCAGCACCCTTAGAAAGCAAATACTCCATCAATTCAATATTTCCTGCAAACAAGTATACAATGCAATGAAGCAAAAATTTCAACAGAAGCAGCAGGTGGATTGAATCTAGGAATAAATCTGATATTTCTGCATCAAGCATGACAGTGTGATTCATCAAAAAGATCAAGCAGGAAACATAACCATGCAGAAGCGCAAGACTTGCCACGTTAAACCCCAAACATACCTATCCCTGCAGAGTGGTGCAAGGCCGTGGCACCTAAATCACTCGGTATACCAGGATTGGCACCCTGATCAAGAAGGTATTTACCAGTGGCAGTATGTCCTTGCCGAGCAGCATGAACAAGAGGAGTCTCCGCTGCATATGGTAACAAGTTCCTTGAGATGATCTATAACAGTGGTACCAGTAACTGCAATAGGCTAATGCATGCCATCTAAATTTCTGAAAAAACCTGTAATGATATGCAAACATAAATGCAAATCATAAGAACATGGTTTCCCTTTAGTTTTCTTATCAAGCAGATTGAAAGGAGAAAGTTTTCAACTTTTGTATATGCCCCCAATTTATTGTCATACATTTAGTCTGTCCCTGATACCTATGGTGCTCTTCTTTTCTTCGATCTCTTTTAGGAATCCAATCACAAAGGATTAATTCTAACAGCACTTTTCAAGACCTAACTCCATTCGTAGTTTTACTAAGTTCAATGGTGGAAAATTGGTAAAACTGGTACAGCTTTGAAAATGTGTTCAAGAAATACCTTTAAATATGCATAAACAATACAACTGAGAAAATTACTTTCACCAAATACCCAATCTAACAGCCAAGTTGCTAACTCACTGTGTTCCATTATCTGAACCTGAAGGAACGCCCACCAACACTGATACCCATATGAAACTAATAGACTATGATCAGGATAGTTAAGAATTTTTATAAATTTTCTTCTAGCAACAGGATGGTCAAAAACTTGACCCTGCAGAGTTGATATCTAGAAAAATGACATACGAATTCTCATATTACTCAATTACACGACCAGTCAAGTCAAAAGCTGGTCTGCATACTGCGTATTATTCAGTCCTCATTTATCTCAGGCAAAACAGTGCCTTGATTACTCAATTAAATAAATCAAGGGATTCTCATGTACGATAAGGAAAGGGTATTCTCAAAAAATATGAGTAGGGATGATGTGGATATAAAAAGAATACCATCTTCATCTTTTGTATCAACATCAAGCTTCAATTCCTCAATCAAATACTTGCAAACCTCAGTCTGTCCTTCTCTTGCTGCAAAATGAAGTGCCCCACGTTTATTAGCATCCTTGATATCTGCCACAGTTTTTGACATTCCCTTCCCTTCATCGAGCTGTGATGCTGTATCTGTTTAACCAAAAACCAATCATCAAAATTAAACATTTAAACAATAAAACAATAGATCCCACATAACCAGAATACCAATACATAATAACCTATTCCACCAAAAGGCATGCAAGCCCAAACAAAGGAAAGAAAAGTAAAGTAAAGTAAAGAGCTTACTCTTAAGAAGATCAAGATTTCCTAAACAAGCAGCAGTAAGAAATTGCTGAACTTTCTCCCTCGCTGCAATCACTCAGAATCGAAGATAAACAAATTCAAGAAAGCATATAGACAAAACAAGAAACCCCTAAAAAGGATATTGCTAAACTCTCTGAAATTAAATGAACTTTGTATAAAAGTTTGCATCTTTATAGCTACTTATATTTACATTATACACGCAAACACTGGTGAGAGAAAGAGAGAGAGGCGACCTGCAAGGGCATCAGAAGCCATAGTGAGTTTCACAGAGAAATTGTTTCAATAGCCTAAAAAGAAAAACAAAAGCTTGCTTCTTTTTATTTCTGTAGTTTTTATCTTTTTTGTGTTGATTAATGAACTGGGTTTTCCGTGTTCGGACTGAAAGAACAGAAATAGAATATGAAGACGGTTGTTGTGCAACGCAAGGACAATAACCAGATGTTTCTGGGGTTTATGCTTATAGAGGGAAAAGGCAAGGACAGTGAAGACCGGAGCAGGGTTTAATACTAAGGTCCTCCATTTTTATTCATATCCAAAAAAGATACCTAAACCATAAAAGGTTTTCAATGCAGATCTCTCTAATTCGTCCCCAAGAGTCCCAACACGAAAACTTTAGGAAAAACCTAAATTTAGCATCTAATGTATTATCCCAATATCCATTGAATTCCAAACTTTTTGATTAGGAGTTTTGCCTCAAAAATAACTTTAACATTACGCAATATCGCACCTCCATTCATATAACTTTACTTTCCGTTGAAAATTTTCGTTCAATTTATACTTCGTTGTCTAATTTTTCTATGAATAACAATAGATCGAGTATAAGATAAATATCAAAAAAATATGTATTTAAAGTATTTTTTATGAATATATATATATATATATATATTAGTTTATCTGTACATTTAATAACCATTAAATACATCTTAAATTTAATTTATAAAAAATATCTATTTTAATCCTTATAATTTTTAAGAAAAGTTTTTTATCCTTAAATTATTATTTTTTTGCACTTTGATCATTTATTTATAAGTTTTTTTGGTCTTTAAAGTTTTTTTTAAAATATTTTGATTATTAATTTTTAAATTTTATGCCATTAGATTTTTTCATTCAAGTAAAACGGGTATTTGTTTTATACTCGACCTATTGTTATCCCTAGATAAATTAGATAGAGGAAGAATAAATTGAATAGAAATTTTCAACTCGCTAAGCTTAAATACACTTTTCTCGTAAAATCTTATAAAAATCCATTAAAGCATGTTTTTTTTCTTTTTTATTGAAACTTGCTCTTAAAATTATGATAAATGTTTATTCAGAAATTCATATAATTTTTATTTTAATTATCGATCTTTCTTTAATTTAATAAAATAGAATGTTGAAAACATACATAAATATTTTATTAATTATAAGGAAAACAAGACTTCTTATCAATAATAATTAGTATTTTACAATCACTGTGTTTTACGTGAAAAGTATTTAAAAATAAATGTTAGAAAACATATTATGAGTTCAGAAAACCTTTTCGTTAACATTTCAGCTCTCCAAAAATGCTTGTGACAAATTGAAAAACAAAAAGAATTCTAAGTGCTATTGATTCTTTAATATATGATCTGTCTCGAGTTAATAAGCAACTCCTTTTCTTTATTTGCGCAAATCAATATTTTTTAACTTTATTTCAATTTATTTGAGTTTTAAAATGATTTCAATTTTTTAAAAATAAATGAATAGTATTTTTGTTAGGTCCGTGGCAGCAATCGGGCCATCAAACTAGTTGACCATAAACTAATCAAATTGTCCTGCATTGGTCATAATATATCCCATGTACGAATCATATATATAAAAGCAAAACGAAAAAATCTAGACAAAGAGGGACGAATTCAAGGGAGGAAAAAAAAAAAAAAAGAGTTTCTATACCAAAGCAGAGAAAAATATTTAAAATTATCTAGTTAAGAAGAATCAACAATAACTAAAGGAAAAATTCAAAAAAAAATCATTTATTAACAATTTTTCACCCTAAAAATTTTTTTAAAATCATTTATACCGAGAAATTATTAAAAAAATGAAGATTATATGTTGTTGTTTCTGTGAGTTTTTTGCAATTTTTAGGTATTTTTATAAATTTAAAACATACCGGTATCTTTTTTAATTTTTGAAAGGACAATTGAAAAAGGAAAAACAATAGAAAATGACAAAGCTAAAAGACAATCAAAAGAAAAAGACCAGTACAAGAAAAGGAAGAATATAAGAAGGAGAGTTGTAGGGCTGCAATTGAGATTATGGAAAGAATAAGGACTGAAAAAGAAAAGAAAATCACCTATGAGGAATACAATCAGGAGAAAATAAAGAGAAAGAAAACTAAAATAAGTAAATAGAAAAGAATGGGAAGAAGAAAAAAAATAGAGGGTGTTGGTTAGTGACTGGACACGAAAAAGGAGGATAAAGTCAGTTTAGTTCTTGATACCAGAGGTTTGTACAAAAATGGTCCCTAACTTCATCTGTGTTAAAAACAAGCTACTTAATGTAGAGGCCAAATAGAGAGAAGGATTTAATTTTTTGGTTTATATGGTGGATTAGAATGTGTTTTGAAGTTCAAGATGGATACTACATATTTTTAGTGTAATCGTTGGGTTTTTTTCATGGTTTAATGGCAAAATTTGTGCTAGTTATGTTGAGATTTGGCAATTTCAGATTTTTTGTATCAAATTGCATAATTTGAACTCTAAATAATTGGTTTTTGGACAAAATTTGTTCCAATGTCCCTAATTTCCGTTATCTATAATAGTCAACTGGATTGAACATTACTTGAAATGTCAAAATGACGTCGTTTTTTGCATTTTGTTGTTAATTATGCTTTCTTTAAAAAAAAATTAAAAATATTTTTAACTCCCCTAATCTTGAACGTTTTTTTTTAAATCTTATAAAAAATTATAAATATTTTATAAATTATATAAAAACAACATTTTATAAATATCTTTAACCTTCCTAATTTTGAATTTTTTTATTTTTTTATAAGATATTATAAATATTTTATAATTAACTAGTGTTAAGTTGGTGGTTAATTATTGAGTATTTTGGTAAGAAAGATATTATTATTAAATTTGAGAGATTTAAAATAAATTGATGGGTGTTTTACATAAATGATTTTTTAAAAGGTTTTTTTGGTAATTCTTCCTAATTATTGATTTTTTTTGTATTTTTTGTGCAACCTTACAAAAGAATAATGATTATTTTTCATGATTTTTACTTTCTTTTTTTTATTTGTTTATTTTTAAAGCATCAGTAGAAAAATAATGATTCTTCATGAAACTTTACAAAGAAATAATGAATAATTGCCATTTTTTTTATTCAATAGAGGTTTGATAATTGATAATTAATCAATATAAGATATATGATTTTTGAAAATTGAATGACAAAAACACTTAATTAGAATTGATATGAAATCAAGTTTTTTATTTAAAAAAAAAAAAACCAACACAATTCGTACGCAGATTAACATGTATTTAATTAATAGTTTTTTTTATCAATATCAAATTTCCCCAATATTAATAGATTGATTTTGTATTTTTTGTACAACCTTAAAAAAATTATTTTCCCATGGTTTTAACTTAAAAACAAAATAGTATAAAATTATCATTATTGTAAAATATAATATTTTTTCATAGAACCTTACAAGAAAGATAATAATTAATTGCCACACTTTTTTTGGACAAAAATAAGGATTTGATAGTTGATAATTAATCGATTTAAGATGCATAAAATTTTAAAATTGAACAACAATAGTAGTGAAACATGATAATATAACGCTAATATTTTTCTTAAAAAAAAATAACAGTACTAACCATAAATTAACATTTAAAATAACAAAAGATGTGAATGATAAGGATTTTATAGTTAATAATTTATCATCTTTTAGTTTATATTAATTCTTTGCTCGCTATGTGTTGCTTCAAAATGATCATTGAATGTGCAAGGAGACATATAGCTTTCGACTCTGTTTATGTAAGATGTGAGAATGATCTTGAAACAGTTTTTCATGTTTTCATAAATTGTTACTACACTCATAAGACTATTTTATAGGTTGTTTATTGTATTTTAGGTCTTCGGTCGATGAATTTGTATTTTTGGGTGATTTACATTCTCTCTTATGACACTGTTATATGCATAGTGTAACTCCTCCACCTTTGTTTTAAGGTTTTTGCCTAACTAACCCATTTCATTGCTTGAGATCTATTGCTCTTGATGTGGTCACTAGTTTGAAGGATATTTCCAAGTCCTTCGGAAGAACTCCTAATTTCATTCTGTTTTAATTAAAACCAAAAACATGACTAGTCATGTTCGTATTATTATGCGAGAGGATTCAAATCCAATAATATATATTTTCCTTACCTTAATGATGAATGTGCATTTAATTGCACAAAAGAAACACAGGACCAAAAAAATCCCTTAATAGCAAACATACAAATGGCATGACAACTCTATGCATATGCACGTGTGACAATTTATAATTGATAAATGAGAAATCCAGTTGTCATTTTTTTAAAAGACAACTGCTAATATATCATGTATTCATCTATTGTATAGATAGACATATGGATAGACGTGAAGACAATGTTGTAGCTAGTTGGGTTAAATAGATCAAACTTCCTTTCCCTTGAACTTTAATCTATTCGAAAATCAGTCTTTGCATTTCTGATTTCGGGTTTATATCCTTATTAGTTTTTTTTTTGTCAAAAATAACGATTACCTCATCATGGAAATTATTCATCAAGATTTATCTAGGGTTTCCCAAAAAATTTGAAATTATTTTGAATTATTTTATATTTTTTACCTTTTTAATATCTAGATAACAACAAACTATACTTGTCTACCGTCGAAAATTTTGAGATTTCTTTTAAAAATGTCGCTATCCGACTTCTATGGGACTCTCAAAATTTTAGTTATTTAAGATTCTATTCATGATTTGATGATTTATAGGAGTGTAAGTTATTATTGATTTCGGAGTCGTCACCTAGTATTGAAGGAAGTAGGACCTTAAAACGGACAACGATGCGAGAGATTTTAGAATAAAAAGTTGATCATTTATGAGAATTGTAAGTTATTATTAATTTCGGAGTTACCACTTAGTATTGAATGAAGTAGGAACTTAAAATGGGCAACGATGCGGAGATTTTAGAACAAGGAGTTGGTTATACTTTTGAAAATATGTCAATCACCCAAAAACAATTTCTTAAGAAAAGTTACCTTATCTAGTTTAGTCATAAAATTTATCTCCTAAGATATTTTATTTATGACAAATTATTTTCAATTTTGAACTCCAATTTTATTTTCTAAACCAAATTAATAATTATTTTTTTTGTTTGTGGCATCGTTTTGAACCGATCGTCGGACCCTTTCGTTGAAAAGCATGCCGGTTTAGACATCGGACCCACTTTAAATCTTGACTAGTCAATATATTGGAGAACAACCTAATTACTAAAATGATTTACTTAGCTAACAATAGTCCCTATTAGATAAGAGACCTTGTTTTTTTAATTATTTTTTCTAACATTTTCTTTATTTTTTATTACATTTCCTTTTCTTTTTTCTTTTTCTTTTTTTTTTTTTAACCTAGGGTTCTCTTCCTCTCATTTTTTTTTATATTTTTCTTATTATTTTCTTACTATAATTTTTCTTTGCCTATTTTTCTTTTCCTTTTCTTTTATCTCTATTTATTTATTATTATTATTATTATTTTGACGTTGTTGTGTTTTTTATTATAATTACTAAAATAAATTCAGGCATGATTCGTTAGGATAAAAGGCTAAAAATAGGGTGACTGGGTCCTTTGGGCCAGGCCCGGGTTGGTGGGAAGCAGCTCTATTTTCCTCCTCTTTTTTTCCTACTGGCTAGGCTAACCCCAGTTTAGCTCATTTATTTTGGGCTGGGCTAGACCCAGCCCATTTTCTTTTTCTCCTCCTCGGGCCAGGCCTGAACCGAGCCCTTTCATCCTTTCTCTCGCTCCTTCGTTCTTTCTTTTTCTCTCCCTCTTGTCTCTCCCTCTTTACTTCTGGACCAACTCATCCATTACGATCCTTATTCAATTTTTGTTTTCTTAGACTTTTTCTCATCCCAATAATCGTTCTTCTAGAAATCAAAACTGTACGTACATTTGTCATCCAACAAGAACACGAAAGGGAACAGAGGCACAAGGGGCTCAATCTGGCAGTGGATTCGCCACTGCCATTCCCTGTTTAAAGCTAGAAATCTCAGTTGATAATAGGAGCAAGATTAATGAAATGGACAATGGACAATGGACAAGTTACCCGAATGCGATTGATGCTGAAAAGAATTGGATTTTGTGTTTGGTATTGTCATTGTCCCTTTGCTTGCCAGTGATGGAAAAACTACCGGAATACCGAGATTGCGTAGGATTGTATGATCAAAGACTTGATGAATGTGTTGTTGTTGTGATTAGAGAGCGGAAAAACGATTGAGGAGGTTATTTCTAGTGTTCTGTGAAACTCAAAACACTTGAATAAACCCAGGAACTTCCAATGCCTATGAGCGACGTGGATGATTGATGATTGATTCAATAAAAATCAAACAATCTAGAGTTCGTTGTTATGAAGATTAAGGACTTCCGAACGTTCGTAGGATCATTTCAGGTTTTTTTCGAAACCTAGAAAGCTTGAACGAACTCAGAAATTCAAGAACGAAACCCAAAAATTAAAAAAAAAACCCAGGTGTTCATCCCTAACTCAGAAATTCAAGTCGAAACCCAGAAACCCAAAAATCAAATGTTCTAATTTGTCTTCTTTTTCACTCTCTGCTCTCGATTCCCTTCTCTCTCTTCGCTCCCCCTTTTCCTCTAACCTGTAAATATTCTATTTATCCTCGATTTCTGCTAACCTTAACCAATTTCCATTTTCCCCCTTTCTGTCAATCGTTCGATTCACATCTTTCTCTTTATTCTGTTATTCATCTAACGCTCTAATCCTTTCGAATTTTGCAGCGTGAATTGCAGAACAAGCAAGGATGGATTCAGGAGTTGGCTTGAAGGAATCAAATTAGTTAGAAAACCATCAAGAATCAAAACCATTTCTGGTGAAAAGGTTTTTGAATTACTGGAGACGGTGAACGTTAGTGCACCGTCTCAGAGTTGGTTTTTTGGCAATTTGCCAATCCAGTCCTTCATCTTCCAAAATTGTTTTCAATCGTATCCTCTAATTTCTTTCAATTATGTCCTTAATTAATTTTGATTTTTTTTAATTTGCCCCTTGATTAAAACCATCCATCAATTTTTGCAATTTATGTTTTTTATTTTTATTTTTTGGATTATACTTTTTTTCTTTTCAAATTCTTTTTTTAATTTTTTTATAATATGTACTAAAATACGATATTATACTAAAATGAAATGAAGACATGGAAAATGACATAAAATAAAGAACAAACTAAAATAATAACTAACAAAAAAATAATTAACTATAATAATAATAATAATAATAGAAATAAAATGGATAAAACTTAAAGAAAAAGTATAATCTAAAATTTGGGTTATGGCAAAATAGATCGAATTTTTTCAATATGTAGGTAAAACTTTAGTTCAAAATACAATGACTGAATTTTTAGAGGAAAATAATGATACTTGTAAATCATAGATTATAAAATAATAAAATTTAAGAAAATCAAATTGAAAATTAAAAATTAAAAAATTAATTTTGAAATAAGCTAATTAAAGTTTAGGAAATATTTGACTCATTTAGTGGTCGCAGGTGAGATTAGATAGGGTTGGAGTTTTATTAATATATATATATATTTAATGCAATTCAGGTAGGGGGCTCAATGGGTAAAGTCCCAAGCCCAACAGCTGCTCGGTTATGAATCCAATCAAGCTTATTGATTTAAAACCTTGTCGAACTGTCCGAAGTTTTTGAATTCTACACTCGTCCAGTCAGCTAGCTCAGCCTCCTATCAAATTGGATTTTTCAAAATTAGAAATTATATAAAAAAATAAATTAAAATTATCGGATAAAATATTTCTTTTTTTTTTTCACTCTAATTCTAAAAAGTGTCGTTTTAAAAAATTGCAAATTAAACAAATATTTTCTTCCTCTACATGGGAAAATAGATTGGATATTTTAAAAAATTTAGAATATAACTAGTCATATAAATACAATAATATAAGAAGATCCAAATCCAGTAATATCCTTCCTTATCCTTAATAATGATTTATTATGTACATTTAATTGGATTAAGAAAATATTAGACCCAATAAGTCTTAATAGCAAACATAGAACTGGCTACTCATTTTACATGACAATTTGTAATTGATAAATGAGAAATCCACTTGTCATTTTTTTTAATACAAAATTGTTAATATATTTTGTATTCATATATTGTATTGTATAGATAGACATACCGTAGTCGAGATTAGTTTTTTACCCATGTTACGTTACGAGTCGGATAAAATACGTAAAACTATTTTTAAAAAAACAAATTTAGTTTGATAGTACGTGTTATATATATTGTTGGTCTACTAAACTATATCAAATCAAATATATATATATATATATATATATATATATATATATATAATTCTATGTCTAACTAATTATTCATTATGTTTTTTTATAAATTTTCCGCTAAAAAGAACACGATTTGTTCTTTTATAACGGGATTCTTAACTAAAAACTTGCAAGAAAATTTAAAAATCCATGAATTCATGACTAAAAACTTTTTTATATTCTTTTTTTCAAAAAAAAAAAAATCAAAGACAAATTATCTAAAAAAAACTTTTAATCTTTAGATTATATATATATATATATATATATATATATATATATATATATATACCGTGTCACTATCATTTAAAAATTAAAAAATTCGTCATGTAATATAAATTATATTAATTTTTTTTTAAAATAATAATATTCTAAAACTTCATTTAAAAAATCCATATATAAATCTCTCTCTTCTCCCTTTTCTCTTTTCATTTCCCGCTCCTCTTAGGAGTTAGAGATCGATTATAATATAAATAAAGTTTTGAATCGAAATAAAAGTTATTGAAAAAAATAAGAGATGAAAAAATAACATAAACAAAGTTTTACTTATAAAATGTACGAAAAAACCTCGAAATCACTAAAAAAAACTAGTCAGTATGTAGTAAAAAAGAAAGGTGATTAGGTTGTGAGTAGAATGACTGACTGAAAAAATATTTAAAATAACAAAAAATATCATTAACTTAAAATTACAAAAAACCATCAAGTAAATAGTATCTCATAGTCTATGGATAAAAACTTCAACCTTTATAGGGTTATTTAAAATTAGACAGCGTTGGAACTTTATATAAATAATGCAATTAGGGTAGTGTGGCCCAATTAATTGATCAAAGTCCCTACCCCAACCGCTGCCGGTAAGTTCAGCACTGGATCAAATTGGTTTTTTCAAAATTAGAAATTTTAAAAGTTAAATTAAAATTATCGGATAAATGCAATCTCTTGGTAATTTAAACTAACCTTATTTTTTAGTTCTGAAAGAGAAAGAGATTTAAATTTTGAAATGTACGCAGTATCCATTCTTCTAACTAGCTAGCCATGCATATTCTCTTCAATGAAATGCTGTCGACTATCCTTAGCTTTAATTGTTTATGTATGGCAAACCGTAAGGAACACATATCATTGATGAACAATCTAAACAGATAAGAACATGCAGAACTAATTATAAGATCAAGGGTAATGTAACAAGAGACATAAACCTTCAATAATGGGAATTTCCACAGTAAAAAAAGAGGTCAATACAGTTCCTACAGCAAATAATGAAATTTGCAGGCCTCATGGAAACTCTCTGATTAAAAGAAAAAACACACACACAAAAAAAGATAAAAAAGAAAAAAGAAAAAGAGAGAAAGATAAATGCAACAATTTCTAACAGAGTTAATTATCAAGAACCAATGAACTACTACTGCATTGGCGTCGTAAAAGACCCCATAATGTCGCCCCGTGTTTGTTGGCTTCTATATTGGTAGTAAATTCTATCAAGACCCCAATAAAAATTTAAGCCAACCTCGGTCTCTCTCTCTCTCACCCTTTTTGGATTTTTTTCTCTCTAGCTCTCTTTTATCTCTCACTGTACAATTTATCCCACACTTGGATCAATACGACTGCATGACCGAACAGGCTACAGCTTGTGCCCAATGCCTTAATTTGGTCTTAACCTGCTGTGGATCATCACCTGCATGCATGTGCAGAATCGGAAAAATCCAAGTTAAGATAATTCTACATTTAGATATGAAAATAAGATCTTTCTTTTGTTTCAATACGAAATCAGAATTTTAAACTTTAGGAGTAGGTAAATTCTTAATTTTATTGTTCTCCCAAAAGTATTAAAAGCCAAAATGCAATGACAGGTACTAACAAAACACAATGTAGTCATGTCATGCTCAGGATATGGAACCTTTACCTGGGCTACATATTTTCCAATCTGGATCACCCTTGGGGCTCTCAAATGATGAAGAACGCGTACCCATTGCCGAAGACGATGATGATAATTCTCCACTTTGAGGTGTGGACACTGGACTTGGCGAAAGTTGCCGGTTAACTGCAAAATAGAGATCCAATGCTGGCAATGTATTGGTCAATCGCTGCCCCTCTTCTTCTTTAAATCCGAATCCAAGCTCTATGCACCCTTTGAGCTCATGCAAGTCTTCGTCTGTCAAGTCATCAGAATCCAGCAACCCATTTTTTCTCCTTTCTTGCATTAATATTTGGCGGCGACGTCTCTCCCATGCTCTGTCACGTCGAGTTTCGCACATCGAAAGTTGTTTGGACAAGCGTTTCTTGTTCTTCCATATCAGTGGTGCCAATGGCATGCGCTCCAAATCATCAGAATCTGAGGAGTTCAATGATGGTAAAGACGACGATGACGAGGATAAAAAAGTCTGCTTTTGAGCCTTAACTTCATTACCGTTCATCATTTTATAAATGACAGATGAGGGAGTCCAGGCACGATAACTTTGTAATGTGGGCCAAGATATTATTGATCAGGCAGCAACGACAGCATAAAACTGTCGCGCCACCAACAGATGAGAACAGTGTGGGATAGGGGCAGGGGCACTTCTCAGAATTTATCAAAGAAGGTTTTTTTTCGAAGTTTTTTCAATTTGGAACAAAAGATACCAACCTAACCAGGTCAGGTTGGAATTGATTGACAAGGCTTTAATGGAGCGATAAAGGAGAGGAGAGGAAAATGGGGATGCGAGATTGTCACGCCTATTTGAAAGGATTCTTAGCCATCCAACCCTTCATTTATACTGTCAATACAGGACTCTTTTTTGTTAAATTTGGAGAATCTGCAAGCCAATTTTGGTTTGTCTGCGTCTATTTTCAAGAATTCAGTTAGGATAATAGAGTATTATAAATTTCAAATTAATGTCATCAAAAGAATTTAAATTTCTGTTATTTATATACAGTTTATTTTTATGTACATTGTATGTCATTTTTTTTTTCAGTTCTAGAAGTTAAGCTACCTTGCTGCCAACTATTTCGAATTAAGCTAGATTGGAAGTTTGTGGTGCTATTTTTAGTAAAAACATTCATCTTTTTTCTAGCAACTTATAAAATTTGGACAGCTAACGTTAATATTAATGTTGTACCTTGAGTTCACTGCAACTCAACTACTAATCCTTAAAATGGATAATGTACATATATAGGAATATCGATGAGAGAATTACACTTAATTACAAGTACTTGTATACTGTTGAGAAGTGTTCTGTTGTTTCTATTTTGAAGATTATAGCCACCTTCATAACAAATACAAATTAACTGAATTTGATGGCCTAAATTCTCAACCAAGATGGGTAATTTTGGTAAAAAGAGATTACTTTATCTTAAATTTTTAAATTGAAATTTTGAATGAGATACCTCCATTTCAATAGTTAAGTACTGCTAGCATTCTCAAAAAAAAAAAAAAAAAAGAATTACAATTTTGTTTTATTAAATTAAATTTGTTTGATATTGGTGGAATATTTATTCATATATAATTTCAATATATAGAATCAAGTTTATCATGTCTCTTGTCTTCATATGGATGGAGCATGATAATTTTAATTTTTTGGTTTTGTGAACAATTAACAAGAAACACACTGCATAAACGTATAAATGGAAGGGCACAAGAAACTTAATGTTCATATATCTAACACACCACAACTAGACAATTACTGACCACAAGGTATAATTGGATTAAATCATTTGATATGAACAAACTTTTAAGAAAAAATCTTGGAGTTTTTTTCCCTTTAAAAACAAACACTATATTATTACACAAATAATATAATGTTGTCAAAGCATTCATAATTAAAATGAACCGACGACAACCAACCTTTTCTCTTTATAAATACAAATGGAAGATTGAAAAAAATAAGAGATAAATATATTCATATATTCTTATATAATAATAAAAAATAAGACTCTCATCCGTGTATAGATTTTTAATCGTATCTCATTTGTTTCTGAAAATTTTTGAAATATTCAATATGTCATTCGATAAAATTTTTCGACCATGAAATATTTTTAACCAAAATAGTTTTTTTTTACTAAAAAAGAAAAAAAACGTAATGTCACATGACTTACATGTTTTATTTTTGAAATCTTTAATTTTTTTTTTTTTTTTTATGTTTTTTACATTTCAATCGTAGGTATTTCGATCATTTTTTTATTTGGTCGGAAAAATTGATTAGAATGATAGATTGAATATTTTAAATATTTTTAAAGACAAATAAGATATAATTAAAAATATAAAAACATATGAAGACTTTAAGTATTATATCGGAATAGATGAGTATATTTATTTTACGATAAGTCTTAGATTTCACTTTTTTTTTTCAGTTGCAAGAACTAAGAAAGAAGTGATAATCCTGGACTGTATAAAGTTTAAAACATGTGCCAAGTTTAAAGCCAAGTCCTTTTCATGTTCTTTAAGACTTGAAAAGTGATGGGATAAAACAAATTACATTTACTAACAAATACTTACAAGTAAATTTATCCTCCAGACTCCAGGTTCCCCCTTACATTTTTTTTCCGAACATGGTCCTTACAAATATATCCTCAGAAAGAAAGAAAAAAAATCAATATTTTTATATTTTCAACGAATTTAGAATTTAATTTTCGGTAAATTAATTTCCTTTCATAATGAATTGAGATTAAGCAGCACAAAACAATTATCCTTAATGACTAATATGGAGACCGGCCACAGCCCAATACATTGCCTTGTACTTTTTTTTTTTTTTTTTTCTTCAGCAGTAGAGGACTTTGACGTTGGAGTTACTGGACTCCCAAGTGCTTAGGAACATATTGGCCCATTTTCCAACTGCTAAGGTTAGAAGCTCCTGTTTCTGCTCTATGAAGAATGAATCATGGATCAGTTTGTTTATCATCTAGAATAGATTACAACTACAAAAAACATAACTTGAAAGAGTCATGTCCACCTTTCTAAATGACTTTTTAAAGTAGACTATATTCCTTAATAATTAGATCGTTTTGAAATATCATGCATGCTTCATAACTGTAATTAAGCACAAAACATAATCAGCTGCACTAGCATTAATTGCAATTTAATTAGGTGTGTGTGGAGGGCATTAATTCCTATTAGAAAGAGGGCTCTTTGGAAACAGATCCATGCTCTCTTGATGTGCTATGTTATTAATCCTTGAGACCTGCTAGAAGGGTAGATAGAATATTGTTACATATTTTACAGAGAGACACATTTTTGGCAATCTAGCAGACTCTTATGCGGCATGAAAATCTGAGGAGTTATTAATAAGCAAAATATGGTTGGTTCTGATTTTTATTCGATTTCAGTTTCTCTTTTGACAACCTATAACAAATGTCCAAAAGCATTATGCCCTAGAGATTTAGAGGAATAAACAAATGCTAAATTTAGCATGTTTTTTTAGGCCTCAGTGAAATCCAAGCCTTTTACAACCAATCAAAGCAATATAATTTACGATTGTTGCTCCCCTTCATCAATTTCCAACTACCTCCCAGTTCCCAACAATGGAAGTTTGGCAAATAGAAAAAAATAAAAAAAATAAAATAAAACTTTCAGTAAAATAACAATGAAAGCTTTATCACCTCTTTCTGCCTGGTTTGATTCCCTGATCTGATCCAGGCATGAGTCTCCATGAAAGATCATAGACGGTTTAATCTGGTCAACCTTCCTCCATAAACACAAAAAGAAAAAACAAGTAGTAGCCCCGGGGTACAGGAAAAATTTGTTTTTCCTTTCCTGTACGCCCTAGTGCATGCCTTCCCTGTCCATTTCTCTTTAATCATGCATACTAATATCCTTTTATTGTTTTCTCTAGCTTTTTTCGCTGTTCTTTTCAATGCCCTTTATGTGTCAGGTATAGGGCCACAGCCACAGAGTTTGTCTTTGAACTGTGGATCAGAAAATGGGGGCACAGATGGTGATGGGCGAAAATGGGAATCAGATGTCAAATACATCACTGCAAAGTTTCCAAATGTCAGAGCTCAGTACCAAGACTCTTCAATTGTTTCTGAGGTTCCATACATGGATGCCAGGATTTTCAGATCCGAAGCAACCTACAACCTCCCCATCATGCCGAAAACGCGTTATTGGCTCAGGCTCTACTTTTATCCTTCTGAATATTCTGGTCTCAATATCGCCAACTCCTATTTCTCGGTGGTCGCAGGAGGGGTTACTCTCCTGAACAATTTTAGTGCCTCGATCACAGCTCAGGCTCTCACTCAGGCTTACCTCATTGAAGAGTATTCTCTAGCTCCCATGAATTCTCAGATTCTCAGTGTCACCTTTAAGCCAGCAGAAAGGCCTGATGCTTTTGCTTTTATCAATGCTATAGAGTTGGTTCCAATCCCTGACCTCTTTGGTTCAGGGACAATGGTGGGGTTTGCTGACCAAACTTTTGATGCTGCGGGTGCAAATTTGCAGACAATGTATAGATTGAATGTAGCAGGGCAGTATATTTCACCTACTAAAGACTCCGGTAATCTTACAAGAACCTGGTATAATGACGCGCCTTACTTATTTGGTGCGGCAACTGGGGTTAATTTGCAGAGTAATGACAGTTTTAAAGTTCAGTACGGAGAATTGGCGGAGTCTGTCGCACCGCCTGATGTTTACAGAACGGCAAGAGGTATGGGATTTCACAAGGACCTCACCGTGGCATTCAATTTGACATGGCTGTTTCAGGCTGATGCCAATTTCACATATGTTGTGAGGCTACATTTCTGCGAGTTCCAATTAACCAAAGTCAATCAGAAAGTCTTCAACATATACATCAACAATCAAACTGCCCAGGTTGAGCCTGATGCGGCCGATATTATAGGGTGGACAGGAGAAATGGGAGTGCCAACATATAAAGACTACGCAGTTTTTGTGAACGACAGGCCAGGCGATGAAGAAATTCGGGTGGACTTGCACCCAGCAACCAGTTCGAAGCCTGAATTTTATGATGCATCACTCAATGGAATAGAGATATTCAAGATGAGTGATAGGAACAATAACTTGGCAGGACCGAACCCTGTGCTATCAGAAATGCTTGCTCAACATATGGCTAAAGCTAGTCATAAGGAATTTCAGACAGATTACAAAACATTGAAGATTGTAGGAACTGCTAGTGGGGTGGGCTTTTTTTTCATTGCTGCAGCTTGCATTGCGGTTTATCGAAAGAAGAAGATAATTCCTGGCTTTGATTCACATACATCTAACTGGCTACCAGTCTCTGGAAACTCCCATACTGGTAGCAGATCAACAATCTCTGGCAAGAGTACTCAAAGCAGTCACCTTTCATCACTGGCTCAAGGTCTTTGTCGCCATTTCACCCTCCCTGAGATAATAAGGGCAACCAAGAATTTTGATGATTCTAATGTCATTGGTGTTGGAGGCTTCGGTAAGGTGTATAAAGGTGTTATTGATCAAGCAACCAAAGTGGCCATCAAAAGGTCAAATCCACAATCAGAACAGGGAGTTAATGAGTTCATGACTGAGATTGAGATGCTTTCGAAGTTGAGACACAAGCATTTGGTCTCGTTGATTGGTTTCTGCGATGAAGATGGTGAGATGTGCCTGGTTTATGACTACATGGCACTTGGGACTATGAGGGAGCATCTTTACAATACCAAGAAACCTCGTCTGTCATGGAAGCAAAGGTTGGAGGTTTGTATTGGAGCAGCAAGGGGACTGCACTACCTTCACACTGGGGCTAAGTACACAATCATTCACAGGGATGTTAAGAGCACAAACATTCTGTTGGATGAGAATTGGGTTGCCAAGGTTTCGGATTTCGGGCTCTCAAAAACTGGTCCTGATATGGATAAGGGCCATGTTAGTACTGTGGTCAAGGGCAGCTTCGGCTACTTGGATCCTGAATACTTTAGGAGGCAACAACTGACTGAAAAGTCTGATGTCTACTCATTTGGAGTTGTCCTTTTCGAGGCTCTATGTGGAAGGCCTGCCCTCAATCCTAGCCTACCAAAGGAACAAGTTAGTCTCGCTGATTGGGCTCTTCATTGTCAAAGAAAAGGAATTATTGAGGACATCATCGATCCTCACATCAAGGGAAAAATCACCCCTGAATGCCTGAAGAAGTTCGCCGATACAGCTGAGAAATGCTTGGCTGAATCAGGACCCGAACGCCCTAACATGGGCGATGTCCTATGGAATCTTGAATTTTCCCTCCAATTACAGGACAACCCTGAAGGTTCAAAGCATAGCTCAAAAGGTGAGGAAAGTGAAACTTCTGAAGAGAGTATAAGAAACTGCAACTTGGCAATGCATTATAGCAATCTCAGCATCGGAAGCAATAGTGAAATGCCTGCGGGATCTGATGACTCTGGCGATATCTTCTCTCAGATTGTCAATCCAAAAGGGAGATGAAGATAACATTCCTGGTGATCCCTGTGCTGCCCAGGCATCGGGATCAATGGAGATTCGAGGCCATGGAATTCAGGCATATAAAACCAGTTTTCTTGGTTACTTAAGAGGGTGATCTTTTTGTTGTCTATTTATTGGACATCATCTATTTGTTGTGTTTTATTAGTATATTATATAATGGTGAGGCTTGTTTAAATTCATAGCACTTGTACTCTACAGACAGGATCAAAGACAAAAGAGTCAAGTTAATCATGCCTGCTACTCTATATGGTTTACTCAATCTATGATTTTACTTAAAGATATATGTTATCTCATAGAAAATTTTGAATCTTCTTTCTTTATTTTTTATTATTATTATTGTTGTTGTTGTTTTCTGAGATTCGTAACTTTTTCTTGCTTGAATTCTGCTTCATATCAGTGTTACTGAAACATTCGTTTTAACCATGAAGCTTCATGCCATGACTAAATGAAAAATGGATAAAGATGTTCGGGAATTTCTTTGTTCTGATATTTGTTCTTTCTCCTACTCTTTTTATCACTCTATAACAAGTTTGTTGAATTGCATTCCTCTTGATCTTGGCTGTCTTTTTCTTGTGGGTTGGGGGGCTGCATGTCCTGTTTATAGGAGAATTGTAGTAAGGAAATGAAGACCTTGGCCTAGCAACCATCAGAACCATGAGGTGTTGACCCAGATGTCGTTTCAATAGCTCCCACCGATACGTCTTTATCCACGTATAACTATCCATAATTGTTTCTAAGTGCTATTAGATTTAGATTAAGAGAAAATTCAGTCATCCATTAAAAGTGAAACGCATTCAGATGTTGGCTTAGTTCAAGAAGTTAAAGACTAAGTCTTAATTGACGTGAAAAGTGATCCAAAATTATTTTTAAAAAAAACCTGATATATCATTTGAAATGTCAAAATTTGTAAATTAACATGATGTATGTATACACTACAATCATAGATTGAAATAACCGTCATTGCATAACATAATTACTGTTATATAACAGTAGTATTAGGACACATCGTTACTATTATTTGGCATCATAGATGCATGTTGCTGTTTCATGACTATAACAATATTATTATTATGTAATGTTGTTGTTTTTTTTTTTTTTTTTTAATATAATGCAATTTTTTGTTATATAATTGCGTTATATTAAAAAAAATAATTATATAACAATTACACGTGATTTAGTCCTTTTTACAGCCTTTTTATCTTTATCAACCATAATTTTTACAGAATTTCAGGTGTTGCAAATATAAAATACAAAAATCGGAAAGAAGAAGAGACCATGGCAGCAATCGTTTTTGGGGGAAAAGAAGAGAGATAAGGAGGGAGGCGGCATAAAGAAATTCTAAGTTTCAACAAGACTTATAAACCTTTCACTTAAACCTAGAAGATTAATATTTTGGGTAAAAAAAATAACTGATAAAGTTCTTATTAGGCCTACTCTTTTTTATTTAAGTGATAATCGAGCCTAGTTTTATAATTACCTTTTTTAATTTGAATAATTAAAAAAAATTAATAATTTTTTTAATTTTTTATGGCAAAATAATAATAATATTATTAGTTAATTCTCCTCCACTTTGACAACTAATACTAAATTATAATTATATTAAAATAATTTTTGAACAATAATTTAAAAGTTAGGGTAAGTTAAAATTTAATTTTTAATAGGGCAATTATTATTATTATTATTATTATATTTAATAAAAACATCAAATTGTCACGTATTATGAAAATTTGTCACGGTTGCTAAATAATTCAAAATAACAATAGGCACCATCATTATATTTTAATGATTAAAAACCACATTCGTTATCCCAATTCGCCACCTTATCGTAACTGCACTGGTATTTAAAACTATGACGACGACTACTACTACTATTACCAATAGGGTTGATTGTATGCATTTTGCTTAAACGATTTGAATTAGGGAACTGCTATCCGCACAACCTCTATGTCTATTGGCACAGTCTTATTTAACTTTTTTATTTTTAAATGACTAAAATGTCCTCTCCTTTTTTTAGTTAATAATTTATTAAGCACAATCTAATCTTAAATAAAACTAATTTTACAGGTCAAAACCACCATAACCAATTATGGCAGCCCCATCATCAAAAACCAAGAAACAGATTCCAAAAGACTTGATACTGAGTCATTCTTGTTGACTCCCAAATGGCATAATTTTCTAGTTCCATTGAAATTAAACGACTAAAAAAAGTGGGTTTTTCTTCCTTTAAATGACTAAAATGTCCTCTCCTTTTTTCTTTTTCTTTTTATTGATGATGGATGATTCGGTTGATGTTAACTTTAGCATGATGGTCGGTAGTGAAGAGACGAGAGGGGAGTGATGGCTGTGATGGACGGTAGCAACGACGGTTTGATGCTCGAGATTCAGCAGTTAAGGTGAGGAATGGGCAGGTATGGTGGTTTGCGTTGGTATTGGTTTGTGGCTGTGATGGCATTTGGTTAGGATTTCATCGTTAAGAGATTGGATTGTTAGTGGGTTGTGATTCATCTTTTTAAATCAGAAATTCAGAGTTAGAAAATGTGAACGGATGGATTTTTGATTAACTAAGATTGTAGTAATAAACAAGTAATTTTCAAGAAAAAGGGCATCTTAGTCACTTAAGGAGAAAAAATAAAAATATGTTAATTAAGATGTGCGAATAAAAGAAGAGGATGCTTTGAATTAAATTTAATTTTGTAATCGTTAAAGAATCTCTCAATTTACATGATTTCATTGGTTATAATTATATATATATATAGAAAATTAGCTTTGGGTATATGTATATGGTCATCACATTTTCATTAACGTATTGAACTTAGAAATGTCTCCCTTGGTGGTTTTGTACAAACATTAGTTTACTATGTACAGTATAATATATGATCCACAATTAGTGCCATCTAATTAATCAAAATTTATAGCTAATTTATTCTCAAGTTAAAAAAAAGAAAAAAATCAATCAAATTTTGATTTGTAAAACATCCTAGGGACCCACTTTTTGGTAGTAATATGATTAACCTTATCTGATGATTATGTTTTATTTATTAAATAAAAATTTGATATCTACCAAAGTTGTAGTTGCGTATAGGGTTGTTGTAGAATTGAATTCTCCATATATTTTTTTCAAGAAAGATGAATCCTATATTTTCTAGAAGATGAACAATTGGATTCGCACCCAAAAACAGAGATGAGGGTTGATAGCATCTTCACTTAATCTAGTGGACATTTAGTCATCAAATAACGTAGTAAGGCAAACATGTCATGTGATTGAATTATTGGTGCAAATGTCACTTAAACCCAACTCAAAGCCTAGACTAATTAATGAAAAATAATTTAATATTTGAGATGTCCTCGATGTTATATGACAATTTTTTTTTTTTTTTTTTTTTTTTTTATATCAGATGAATTGGGAATATTGTTTACTAAGTATCGATCATGGATCATGTCACATTTTAATCAATTATTTAATATATAACACAGTTTTAGTTAGAAGTCAATCATGGTTAGAAAGATAGGTAATATTATAAGTGGTTTATGGAATTGTTGAGTGTTTTTTTAAAACGAAAAGCAAGCTTATCATCAACCTATTTGTCATTGTTTTTAGTGGAAGGTATCATTAAAGGTTGCATATAGATTTCCAAATTAATAACAACCAATTGGACAAATATAATAATCAACGATAAGCATGTTTGACAACAAATCGATATTTGAGGCTTAATGGGATGCTTAACATGGGACTAGGATATGCTTGTCAACTCTCACATTACTACTTGTTGAATTGAGAAAATAGAATTACAGAAATTTAGAGATAAAAACAAGAGCACATAGTCCGTGCCTAATTATGTACGGTATAATACTGTTGTAGAAATTTTAATAATTCATCTCTAAGATTCAATTTTACAATTAAGAAATTATCTGAGTTTTGAGAAGATGATTTAATTTTGCATCTAAGAAATTGCAAACAAGAAGAAAAATTTATTATTTTCTAAGAAATAGTCTTGGATTGTTATTTTTTAACAATTATAATAGAACATTTTCCTAAAATTAATTAAGTGTTAGTCTTTTCATATTATATATTAGGAAACTAGCTTCTTTTCTCTGATTTGAGTTCTTTCTAAATACTTTCAATTGAAAATCTTTACAAGAGATCTATTTATAAAGTATATCTTTTTTTTTTTTCTAATATGAGATAAACATCTTAATTAAAAATATTCTTTTCATTACATTTAACTTATTAACTATTCAGGTCACTTTTTTCCAACACTAGCTAGCTAGTGCTGCCAAATTATCCTAAAGATTGAATCTAATCCTAGTTAATGCTTATGCTTAATTGGTTTGTTGAAGGAACCTTAAACACTGTCAAAGTCATGATAAACTACAAAAAGAGGTGTGTTCGTACCAGACAACAGAATCAAATTCAATTCAATTGTGTTTAACTTAATCTCAACTAGATCATGCTGATTCTTATGGCTGCAAGGGCTGTAAGGTCCTCGATGGATGGAACATGGTCCTAAAATCATAAAACAAGTGGGGGCAAAATAATAATAAATAAATAACAAGGGAAAGCAAAAGAAGAGAGGATAAAGAAGCATGATGTTACCTGTTTCTTTAAGAGACCACATTTAGGTGGCAGTTGAGGATAGCCATGGTTGAAAATGTCACTTCCCCCTTTGGAGAAAGTTATTGATATAGGTCAAGCATGATAAAGTTAATTAATCCAACAATTATTATGATGAACTATTATAATAATCTTCCATTTTTGACTTTTGTGCCTAATTGATTTATTTGAATTGATAGTTGGTATTGATAATTATAAAAAAGAGACTCTTATCAAAAGTTTATAACCATTTCATAAAATTCAAAAAGCTTAAACAGAGAACCTTATGCTTCACTAGCTAGCTACCTATAGGATTGGCAATTTGAGGAGACTAGCCAAGCCCAATGCGTGAATCTATCTGGGTGGGGATTGGCAAAAAAATAAAAATAAAAATAACAATGAGAAGGTAAAAGTCAAGATTAATTTATAACGTCTTTTCTTGTGACTGAATTTTTTAAAAATTCAAGATTAATTATAGATTTAATTTATAAAACCAATTATCTTATCGATAGACCGTATTTTTTTTATGATCTTATATAACATGATTTATGAGTGAATTTTCAATTTTACTCAAGAAAAATTGAATTCACCACCTCATGCTTACTTAAAAGGCCGCTATCTATGGAATCAAAACTCAATTTTTATTTGCTCTATAATATATTGTGCAGCCTTTATTTGAATTTAGAGCTATTAAATTGAGTGAGTTAAGAATAATAAACCTCCACCAAGATAGATTCACAATTATAGTTGATTCTATCATTCTATCATTGCAGTGGAATTTATGAAAAAAAAAAAAATTCTTTAACAAATTTCTTATTCGAAACCTAGGATTGGAAATATCATTAGTTTCTCTTTTCTTTACCCAAGACATAGTATAGTACATCAAAAAGAGTAATAATCATTCACCATCCCATCATCCAAAGCGGAGAAATGTTGGTTTTCTTTTCATCTTATTATTATTTTTATTATTATTTATGCCTGTAGGCTAGAGTAAATTATAAATTAGTCCCTCCAGTTTTAAAAAATAAATTAACTAATTCTTTTTGTTTTAAAATTGTTATTTAATTTTTTAATCAATGTTGAGATTGCTTAATTTAATCTTATTTTTATTTCATAAAATCTCTTATTTTTAGATCAATTTTTTTATTTATTAAAATAAATAAAAAAATAAAAAAAATTAAATTATAAGTAGATTTCAAAATCTAAAAATTAAATAATTAATTTTTAAAACGATGGAGATTAAATAATTTGTTTCTCAAAACGAAACGAGAGGGACTAATTTATAATTTACTCCTGTAGGCTATGGCCTGAGCTGGGCAACAAATTAGAAAGAGGATAGAGAATCTCTGTTCAGGTCAACTATGTCCTGACAAGGGCCCCACCACAAACCCCAATACTTTATTATTTATTTATTTATTTTTAACTTTACCAGTTAACAGAAACAGACAACAAAGGGGCTGCACCAATCAAAATTCTTGGGACAAGTGTCACCCACGATGGACGTGGCGCAATCTTGGGCGTCTATTTTCCAACGGCTATCTTGGGATGTATGTATCTACTGTCCACAGTGGACTTTTGGGCCCACCATTGCCAGACATTTTGACAAAAGGAAAAGGTAAATTCTACGAATTGGTAGCCCAAAAAATCAATTACAAAGTAAATTATAAAATAATTCCAATGTTTAAAGAAATAAATAAAAAGTTGAAAAAAATAAAACAAAGGAAGAATAAATTATTTCTGAGTCTCTATATTTTGAAAAAATTAAAAGACAGTCTCCTTAGTTTCTACAATCATAAATCAATCCTTTAACCATCAACATAAATGCGTTAATTTTTTTAATTAATCCCCAAAGCGACAGCTTAGCAAATTAGAAACAGATGCTAACGGAGGGCCTAAGTTATGAGAAAATATAGTAATTAAAGAATGAAAATTTTGAAACAAAAGGACTAACTTATTATTTTCTTAAAAATACAGTCACTAAGTTACTATAATTTACTAAAAAAAAAGAAAGAGAATATCTACTAGTACTACCACAGCTATGTTTTTGGGTGGGACCCACGTAGGATCTTTGACACAGACATCAGTTTCATTTTTATGTTTCTATGTTTGGCTCTGCCACTGAAACAGTTCTGTTCCCCTCTCCCTTTGTTAGATTCTTTTCCTTTCCCTTCTTTTGATTTATTTACGTAGCAGTAGTTGTTTTCAAGTTAAAGAGAGACTTTGTTTTCTTTTGGGTCATTTTAACAAATTCCAGAAAGCGACTTCAAGTCTTCACTTTCACACCACCGTGGGATTAATCTAATACTATGACACTATCACTTGTCAAATTTAACAAGGTTTATTCTTGTTTTTGTATTTGAAGTTGTTGCCTTCTTTTTTTTTTTAATCACCGTAGGTCCTGCCCAGAATTAGCCACGAAAGAATGGCTAATTTTAAATTTAATCTTGCTAGTCTTTGATTCTCTTATGATGCTCTAAACTCCAAGTTGCTTGTGTTTTGAGCAACTTTTTAACAGTGCAAAAATATTGAGTCTTTTTTAGCAATACCTCATTTGGGTATATGCCATTTTGTGTTGTGGTGATTTTTTTTAGCTAAGTGATGAACTTGGTTTTTGGTTTTAAGGGTTTTGACAATTAAAGTTTGGTTCTTTGAGTTTGAGTTAGTATGGAGGAGGTTGAGGAGGCACACAAGGCAGCTATTGAGAGCTGCAATAGAGTTATTGGCCTTTTATGTCAGCCAAAAGATCAAGTTCCGGGTAGGAACTTAATGGTGGAAACCGGAGAGACTGTTTTTAAGTTTAAGAGGGTTATATCTCTTTTAAGCACTGGTTTAGGTCATGGAAGAGTAAGGAAGTTGACGAAGTTTAGATCGTCTTTGCCTCAAAACATCTTCCTAGATAGTCCTAATTGCAAAACTATTTTAGCACCAAAACCTCTCCAAATGGTGCCTCATAATTTTCTTGAAACCCCACTTTCTGACATGGATGCTAAGCCTAAACCTTCTACGCAAATCGCCCAGAAAATGTTTCTTGAAAACCCAGTACTTGAATTGAACTCAAACGTCAGGCCCCCTCTACAAATTATGCAAACAAAACCACCACAAAACTTCCAGTTTCTCCCACAACATCAGCCGATACAGAGGATGCACTTTCCACAGCAGCAAATGAAGCATCACGCTGATAGGGTGTATTCTAGGAGTAATAGTGGGATAAACCTTAAGTTTGATGGGTCTACTTGCACACCAACCGTGTCATCCACAAGATCATTCATATCATCTCTGAGCATGGATGGTACTGTGTCTAATTTTGATGGAGATTCTTTCCATTTAATTGGTATGCCTCACTCATCCGATCACATCTCACAACAAACAAGGAAGAGGTGTTCTGGTAGAGGAGAGGATGGGAATGTGAAATGTGCTAGTAGTGGTAAATGCCATTGCTCAAAGAGGAGGTAAGATAAAAATCCCCATATTATATTCTATATCTCTCTTTTTTGTTGATTTTAATTGCAATCTCCCTTTTCTTTTCGTCTTTAGAAAACTGAGAGTGAAGAGATCTATTAAAGTTCCTGCAATTAGCAACAAGGTCGCAGATATTCCTCCTGATGAGTATTCATGGAGGAAGTATGGACAAAAGCCAATTAAGGGCTCTCCACATCCTAGGTATATCTGATTCAAGCTTCGTTGTAATATCCTCCTATATGTTCAGTTTATGATCTGCCGATAAATAATTTCCGAAAGCTTGCCCTTTTTTTTTAAAGTAGTTGATTAATTGCAGGTATCATACAGTGCATATTAGAAAGTATTGATGTTTTGCATCACTGACATTAGCAATCAAGAGCTTTCGTTTTATGCTGCTAAAGTCTTAATTGTTTGGATAAACATGTTTATCTCGTTGATCCAAAACTATTTGTAATGCAGGGGATACTATAAATGTAGCAGTCTGAGAGGTTGCCCGGCGAGGAAGCATGTTGAGAGATGCCTAGAAGACCCTTCAATGCTAATTGTAACCTATGAAGGTGAGCATAATCATTCCAGGTTGATCTCATCACAGTCTGCGCATACATGAAACATAGTGGATATCTTCTCACTTCAGGAGCTCAACTTCCAATATTTCACAAATCCAACCATAATCATTTGGAGCTTCTTTGTGATTTACTGCTGTATATAATATGTGGTTCAAACCTGCGATGGGATATCATATGATGGAACAGATTTTCATTAGTTGACAGGTTTTCCAAGTATTTAGCTTTTCGGTTAGAGTCTATCTGGTTTGAACTGCTCTCTCTTATATAGAATAGGGATTACAAATTGTAAACTTGTACTTCCCTAAAAATCCAAGTTATAATTTTCATCAATTTATCTGCAAACGTAGGTTTTTTTTATTTTTGATTTTTGATTTTTAAAGCAAAATAGGACAGCATGAGTCGTGTGAGCATAATTTTGCTTATATTATCGAAATGGTGATGCGGCTAACTGATGTCTTATCTTTGTGTTCGTGTTTCTCAACTCTCATCGTAAAGTAATTAACTACGACATTGATGCCCAAATACACGCTGTTTTATCCGTTACAAGCATGTCCGTGGCATCTTCAGAGAAATAAAAGGAGACTTGGTCATGACTACTGTGTAGAGTAAAATAAAGAGAAAACCAGGAATACTATTCACTCCTTTAACAAGAGTGACATGTTAAAAGCATTCCATTCCCTTAGCCTTAGTTTCCTGGTTTTCAGCACAACTTCAAATAGCTCACCTGGTTTTCCAAAATCTGACTGCCCCATAAATCGCTGTCATGACTCATGACAACTTTGGTGAGCTTATGATCTCTAGCAACGAACAAGCTCATTCATGATTACAGACACTGAACAACTCATCAGTTGCCCACAGAATTATCCATACTGGTTTGGGAATGTCATCTCCTATAATCTGTTCAAAATGTCACTCTCGTGGAATCTTCAAATTGACACCTAGCTCCCATTTTGAAGCTGGCTATTATTGGAACTGAGTAACTGTAGCATTTCTAAATTTGAAGAGTTTGATAACGGTGAAGTCAGATTTTCATTTCTCTATTCCTCTTCCAAAATATGATACAGGCAACAAGCTGTCCAAGGCAAGCCATCTATAGTTCATCAAACAGCTGCTGCCAACCGTCTATAGCTCCCTTGCTGTCCTGAGGTCATAAGAGCAGCTCCTTCTTCTGTGACTTATTGAAAACCTGCCGGGAAACATCAAGTCACAAGGAATATCACATGCAAAATGTAGAGCTTAATGTTCTGCGCACATTTTTATCAGAAAGACTTCATGACGTTAGGATAATTTCTTTTTCTTTCCGTAAGTCCCTAAAGTGGCAGCTTTCAAATGGAGTCCAAAGCAAAGAAAGCAAACCATCAAAGCCTAGAGCAACAAGCAACGAGCAATATTTCCTCTATACCGTACCAAACGAACCCTGCCAATAAGGAATTTTGCCCACATGCATAAAGTTTATTTGCAACTTCGCTAACTTCATATGATCCAGGTGTGGATGACTCCTGATTACTCCTGACCGTGGGAACTAAGAAATTCCCATCATGAAAACCAAACTTCCATATCCTAGGGACCTAAATGTATAGCTCTTCCTGACACAATACAAACCTGTACCTTCTCCCCAACAAAAGAGTAATTTTCCAAGCAATAATTTAATATATAAGAGCCCGAGAGTTTGAAAAGAGTAATTTGTCTGGATATGCTAATGCAATCTCACAAGAAGTTCACAAGAAAAAAATTTATGAAAACCTAATTAGAGAAAGGAACAAAGTGCAGAAAAATCCACAACTGCCCAAATTAAATTTCCCTTTTCACTTGAGGGGAATGAACCTGGAAGAGTGTGTTGCACCAATACCAGGTCTTCCATGCTTAACGGGCTTGTAAGAAATTGAGAACTCGGCAAGATAATGGCTAATCATCTCAGGCTTGATCTCAACCTGATTGAAGGTTTTGCCATTGTAAACTCCAATGATGCTTCCAATCATTTCAGGTACAATGATCATATTCCTAAGATGGGTCCTGACAGGCTCTGGCTTCTCACCAGCTGGGGCCTCCCTTTTCTGTTCCAAGCCACCAAAAAACCCAGTAGAAATTAGTCTATATTCAAAATATAACCAAACATCAATACCAGAAATTTCAGGCACAATAATCATTAGTATGGGTGTTTGTACCAGAAATTTCAAATTCCTTGTTCCGCAACTGCGATTTAGGAGCCAGCTAGAATCTCCCTTTTCTAAAGGGTAGGCAGCACACAATTTGATGCATTTATCAAAGCAAGTCCCAAATGCAGAAGATGCACAATTCTTTTTCATCACTTATTTTGTACAGTTTCATCGACAAAGGTTGAAAATTCAGCGACCAGCACATGCATGCATGAAAGGGGATGGAAACCCATCACTGGATGCGCATGCACATACACACAGAAATTTACACCCAAGATAATTTTTGCAGGATGGTTACGCCACAGAGGTAGTCATCAGAACTCTATTCAATTAATTGCTGTACGTATTGTTTGTAACTTCTCTTGAATAAACCAACCTTTCTTTTATAAACTGAGGAGCTTCTTCTTCGATAACTATTCAAGTTTTCAAAGTTTTAACTTTTAATTATTTGGCAGTGCATTCTTTTGGATGACATTGAAAAATAATAATAAAAAAAAATTAACTTATTTCTCTTGTACCTATCCAGGAACAAATGAGATTGAACAATCATCATGTTGCTCACTCTTAAGAAACATAGTCGACGGCAAACAGTCAAACACACCGCGAATTTTATCAGGCAGGAAACCCAGATGAATGCCTTGTTTTCTCATCTGATCAAACATTTCGCAGCTAAGAAAACAGGCATGAAAGAAAAACATAATTTCCTCAAAATTCTATTATAACGTATTCTAGCAAAATAACCAATGATTGATGAAAGGCCCCACAGACATTAACAGCTATTTTTATTTTATTTTTGTTATGACTGCAGTCTTGCCACCATAATAGGCCCTTCTCTTAACCCATTCTATATTGCATACTTGCCACACAATTTTGAAGCCACATGATACTAAAGTGTTATCCTACAAAAGAAGAAGAAAAACAAAATCACCAAGAGCAACAGAATTATTACATCACCAATCACACACGAATCCCAATAATCAGCACAACGACTGCAAATCAAACTCGAGAAACACAAACTCAACACAAAAAATAAAGAGTAACAAGGAAAATACATCCCATAATTAAACACATTATAACATTACTCAACAGTGAATTGCACAGTCTGTAAGGCTATCCTATTAAGTCATAAACATCCCATAAAAAAATACAGATAAATATATAAGGAAAGAAATTATCTTACAGCTTTACGCAATTTCTTGATCAATGCCATTGGCTTCCTCTTCAAACCTCTTTGAAACCTATCATTGCAATAAAAACCCTCAGCAAATTAAAATTAACAAGAATAAAAACATGAAAACAAACAACCCATCTTAAATCTCTCACTTAATCACAAAATAACCCCATTAAACCACACGTAAATTTATACTAGTAGTATTTTATTACCTTCTGCGAGCTCTCGCGGGAAAGAGCTTGACAAGTTCATCAGTGGACATGTCAAGGAGAGCATCTAAATCAACGCCTCTAAAACTGAACTTCTTGAAAGTTCTCTTCTTTGGCTGCCCTCCTGCAACTGTCACTTCAGTCTCCACATCAGCCTGAAATTATAAAAAGATAAAGAACATCAAAAGTTATTAAAAAAAAAGTAAATAAAGCATCATTTTTTATTTGGATGCCTGGAAAACGACGGAAAGCTTGGATCGGGAGACTCACCATTTTTTGCTGGCAATCTGCTTTTCTTTTTCTGGTGGAGCGTAAGGGTCTGGGGATTAGGGTTTATGAGATGGAGGGAGATTTTATTATTCATGAGCTTATTAATTGTGCGGGCTTTTTTCCAATGGGCCTAACCCAGTTACCTTTTAAACCTCGAATCTTTCAGGCCGAACCGATTTAGACCGGTTCAACAGAACTTTCAACTGGAGCTGGTTCATTAATGGGCCACATCTTCTAGAACTTTTGTTGGGCTTGTTGCCACTATTCACGTTCCAATTATAGCATGCGAAGACGATCACCTACTGAACTAATTTTGTCCATATTTATACAAGAGTTAGCTTCCCCATTTTTAATCTTTGGGACATAATTCATAACTCTCTAACAATGTTCACACCCTTCTTTCTACCCTTTTTTTTGTAAGTTTCATATGAAATTGTACTTCATTTCTTTATTTATTTATGGTAATTAACCAGTTAAAATCATTTTACAACTTTTTATTCAATTATTTTTATTGAGTAAATGTACAATTACAACTATAAGAAAATTTTAATCTACTTTTACTGAGTCATATATCTCTCTATAAAACATATTTCACTTTTCTTTTATTTTTCTTTATACTTCAAATATTTTTCTATAATATTAGTATTTATTTATCTGACCCTCGTTGAATCTCAGCTTTATTTCAATTCACCCTGTAACTTTTTACCTCTTATTTCTTTGGTTGGATGACGGGATCGGTCTTGAATTAAACAAATAGTCATAAACGCCATATACGGTCATGCATGTCCTTAGAGAGGGTCTCTCTCTCCGTTTTTTTTTCCTAGCATAATGTAAACGATGAGCTAATATTTCCTCTTGATCCGGAGCTTATTTACATAAGATTAATTGGTTATATAGTATCTAGAATTATTAGCCAAATGAAAAATGGTTTTCAAACTTTTTTTTTTAATTTAGGTTCTAAATCTTTTATTTGTCTGTAATTAAGCCTTATCGTCTTGTTAATCAATATTAGATTTACGTTAAATGTATATGAAGCCATAAAACATCCATATGTGTCATATATTTAGGATTTTCAGAAAATATGTTATTGTTTTAATAGCTTCACGTGTTTTTTATGTTGTTTGAAATTAATCAACATAACAAAATAACTTAATTGCATATAAAAAAGAAATCAAGACTCAAATCAGAAAAAAAAAATTAAGGTATTTTTCCTCTGTAATAATAGCTCAATGTATTTTGTAACCAGTTAGCCTTCAGATAACTAACCTAGTAACCTGTTTAACTACCTAATTTCAGATTGTTGAGCTCACTAATGCTAACTTGGAAGGAGTCAATCCAAAGGTAGGGGCATTTTCAATGCAAAACCTTGAATTTAAACATAAATGGTAACAAAGCTCAAGCTTTTGAGGAGGAATTAAATTTGAAGAACACTGGTTTATTAAATTACTGAATGTAGTAGAATTTAGAATGACAACAAGAAAAGGATCGATGCCCCTTCAAAATCAAGGTTTTTTTTTTTTTTTGTCAAGTTTAACTTGTTGAAACGGACATATTTTAAGGTACAAACCGTCGACGAGCTTATCGGTGACATGCCAATCTGCAGAATACATAGGTAACCCCTGATTGAGCTATATATATATATATATAGCCTCATTTTTTCTTGGCCTGTCAACTAGTCGGCTTTACAAGGAGATAAAATGAAAATTATTCTTAAACTTTGAGGTGCCTAATTTAAATTTATTTCGATGTTGACCATGAGTTTTTGGTTTAGGTTTTTAATATGCTCAAGTGAATTTCTTTTGTGTCATATGACAAACATCTCTTTTGCTTTTCGTGAAAACGAAAAAGGAAGTCCTGCATGCAGATGTTGATGTCATTGCTGAAGATGTAAACATGTGAATACCTATCTATAGGAAAGGCTAAAAATTGAATTGGATGTTAGATGGCATTAATATTTTAACAAGAATGAATAATAATAGCTCTACAAGAATGTTGTTACACTTACAGGATAGTCATGATATAATCATTCATATCGCAGTATTTGATAATGCTTAGGTCGCGAATGCAAATAACACTTGCCACAACTGAACCAAATATGCAGGCATTTTCATAATGAAATGAGATATGTATGGAAAAAAATAAATTGCACTGACTCCAAGTGAGACTTTGATGCTCCAATCCAAGTTTTGCATTGAAGTCAAGAGGAGATGCACGGTGTAGCTGCTGAAAACTAGTTCTCTATCCATTACAAGATCCAGATATATGTGCAGGGGTTCTGAAGAACTAATAGACGAATAGTCGATAAGTCAATCAAGGCATATAGAGCTAGTACCGTGACTTATAGAAATACCGATTAATCAACTAAATAGAAAGGAGGCATATAGAGCTAGTACCGTGACTTATAGAAATACTGATCAATCAACTAAATAGAAAGGATGTAAGTAGTAAGAAGTTTGGGAGCAACAAAAAGTGTTAGCCAGGAGCTAATCGAGTGGCTGACATGTTTGTGGTCAAAGTCCAACAAATGAAGTCTTAGGTAATGTTTGGTGAGTAAGTGAGAGAGCTTCGAGAGTGATAATTCAAAAGGTTTTTTTTTTTTTTTTTTTTTTTTTTTAGAAATTAAAAGTTGGAATCCCTCACAATTGCTATGAGGTCGATATTTATAGTAAAAAAAAAAGATATTTGACCATTAGGATTTTATTATATTATCTAAATTTGGAGGGTCGATTTGAGTTGAAGAAAATTTGGTTTTTAAGAATAAACTATTTCAATTTGCTAGTAAAAGGTTTTTTTTTTTTACTAGAAATTAAATGTTGGAATCCTTCACAATTGCTATGAGGTCTATATTTATAGTAAAAAAAAAAAGATATTTGACCATTAGGATCGTATCATATTATCTAAATTTGGAAGGTCAGATTTGAGCTAAAGAAAATTTGGTTTTTTAAGATAAATTGTTTCAATTTGCTAACAAAAACTAAAAATAATAATAATTAAATCTTCACTTAACAGACCATATTCCGAGCTCTCTGAGCTAATTTTCTTAATAAAAATATTTGTGGTTAGCTCCCAAATTCTGCAAATAATCCTACTTTCAAATAGTTTTCGTGGAAGGAATTTGGTACGAGTTACTCTGATAAATGAACGACGGATGACTTGTGAAGTAGGACATGTTAGGTCGAGAAGATTTTATCCGATCCACATTTTGGATGCTGCATAATCTGGTTCTACCCTTCAGTTTTGGTTCTGATTTTTACGAATTTGTTTGCAATTCAGCTTCTAATATCTTGTTTCTATACAACATTTAGAAGATGCAAAGCTTGGTGGCACCAATTTGCTTGGAGCAATTCGATAAACTGGTGCAAGACAGTATGTCCAGAATTGGTGGATATATTCTCATTTGTTAGAGTAACCGGTTTCATTTGCATCCATTTTTCTTCAGAAATAGATGCCTATGGACCGTGGTGAGTAATTTATGTCCACTATGTGATATTTTGACAAACGAGTGTGAGAGAGAAAGACTAGTCCTTGACCACTGTTGCATAATTGTTTGACATGATGTGAATATAATTTGCTTAAATATATTCAGCATTACTTTTGATCTTAGTGGTCAAAAGATTTTTTTTTTTTTTAATCATAAATTACATAATACTGGCAATAACTTTTCTTGTTGTGTGGCTGCATGACCTTGGTGAGACTAACGTTTAAGTTCAGAACAAATATATAGGTTAACAATCTGGCATGAATATTAAGTTCCAACCTGCAGGGATGCTATGCTTCCTTTTTGGCTATAATCTTTAATGTTTCTATCCATAATGCATGTTTATTAGTCTCAGGTATATGTCTATCCACTGTTTGGATCATATGATTGGATACAATCTTCCACTTAGAGATTTCACCCCTTCTTAGTAGGAAAACAAATGCAGCAGCTCATTGGCTGGCTAAAGTTTATTGCTTAACTTCAGTACCTCTTCCTGCTTTTATAATCTGCTTCAAACCGATGGCCCTTCTTGATGCATATTACATATCACAGTTGAAAAAAGAAAAGGGCTGTTACCTGTTTGGTTGGGCAATCAAACAGTATGTGGACCAAAATTTGTGGAAAAAACTATTCAGATGGGTATGATTTCGTTTTGGTTTAAATTGGAGTCCTTAATTTGCTATGGAAATCTGTCCTTGATATTCACAATACTTTGCGCCGACATTCCATCAAAATATTACTGAAGATTTTGCTCAGGCATTTCAATTGATTGGCCTATGGTTAAAACCTTTGGATCAGTCTTCAGAAAATTTTGTATAATTCTTTTTAATATATCAAACCATTATAGAGGATGTACTCTTAAAAATCTCTCGAAAAATGATTTAATTTTGATCAATACGTAAACTGATCTGATGACTCCCGTTAAATAAAAATGATGAATTAATTAAAATGTATCCATATTGTGATTTTTCTATATGAATTATGAAGATGGCAAAAATATTGTCATGGTTAAAGGCCTAATTGTCTAACGTGCAGGAAGAGATTAAACGTTCTTAATGTTAAATTGGCACGTAGTTATAAGGTCCTGCTTAGTCTTGAAAGGAATCTTTTTTTTCAAAAGAAAAATCAATTAAGAAAGAGTAGATATGAATGCTTGATCATATATTCTGTTGGTGAATATTGAACTCATAATTCCTAGAGGAAATGTAATTGCTTTATTTCTTTTTTCTTATCTTTTTGTTTTTTCTTTCCTCTTGGTTACAAAAAGGCTCAACATTAAGTGGTCCGAAAATTGTTCAATTTAATTTATTATTATTTATTTATTTATTTGTGGCTCTATGTTTTACTATTTCTAAATGATACCATAGATGATGTATGAGACAATACATGTGAGTAGTCCTTTGCTATTTGTTGAATGTACCAAATCTTGGTCATCATGGAAGTTCTACATTGCCAACGCTAATTTCTGTGCTTGCAAAATTAAGATGAAACCAGAAGGTTGTTTTCAAAAAATGTTTACCTAATT